ATATAATCTCAGGTAATATCTGTGACGTATTTATACCCGAGCTACATTACGATATATTTTGTACTATCGAAAACTATGGTGTCTATGGTTTAATTATAAACAATTAATTGAGGCGCAAATACATAAAGCCGAAATAAGATAGCAATTAATAAACTGATAATTGTTAACTTTCTACGTAAATAAGTACACTTCATCCCATTTTCTTTGTCAAAGCATTTCGATTATTATGAAAGACAGAAAGTTGCATTTGACTATTTTATTGAGATAAATTTTCAGGTTCAATCAAATTTGCGGTATGCTTTTTAGTTTTGGAGTTATATCCAAAAAATTAAAATGTTTATACTTTGAGTACCCCTCTAGGGCTAGCTGCAAGGTTTTCGACTTACAGAACACACACAACAATAGAAATGTGCCATTTTTATTAAGTTAGATGTAACTGTTTCTTTTTTTTTGTATAAAAAAGGGATGAAGTTTGCCATGACTGAAAACAAATGCACTAATAAAGGGTGTGTGATGTCATTGTTGAATATATATAGCTCGATATGGAGAAAAACAAATTCATATTTTCCGTGGGTTAAATAGAAACTTTTTACTTTCTGATAATACGTATAAAAAACTTTATAATTTTAGAAAGCGTACAACACCTTTATTTGTAAATAGAAAATCGTGAGAGTTTTTTAATTAAATATGATACAAGATTTTATTCCAATTATGTTGAAGAGTTTATACGAAAAATATTTATAAATTTTGGCTAGAAGCTTCTTCAACTTCGACACGTTGTTGTGCAACACACTGTACAATTTAAAATTTATCTCACCTTTTAAAATTTAAAATAAAATTTGTATTTGGAGAATGACAGGAAAAATATTTGTTTTTCAGTGCCAAAATTTTTGAGGAGACTAGGTATAGCTAACATACCTCCTATCTACGCCACTGATTATGAGTTGAAATTTTAAGTTGATTAATTAATTTTATTTAAGTATTGTGCAAACAAAATTTCGTCTTAATATAGAAAGATATTGTCTGAAGTTATTTGTTTGTGGTATAATTTTCATCTTTTTTTTAATATTTTTTTATATTTTCCCAACAGCGAAAAACTAATTAAATAAACCCTTGCGTCAAAGGCATCGAGGTGTTTTCTATGAAAATAGTTTTGCCTAACCAAAAATCTCTTATTCAAAAATACATGCAAAATAGAAAAAAAAACACATCGAACCTTTATCTGGTTTTGACTTCTGAGGTACATTTTTTTTAACTGACTGTTATATAGCATTATACCAATGTTTTTACTTCCCCTATAGATTTGTAAATTTTCGTTGTTAAAGATAACCAACCAACCCAAAAGCATTTTATCTCTTTTTCTGAATTGTTTTGTTTTGTTTTACAATACAGTCTCAGAAATTATGCAAATTTTGAATTTTTGACAATAATTCCATGATCAAAAACATATCGAAGGTTTGTATTAATCTAAAAATCTTTGTCAAAATGACGCATGATTGTAGAAAATGGTAAAACTTGTCTTTAGATTAAGTGGCATAATTCAAAGTTAACAAATGATATGAAAATAAATTTCTTGTCTCTATCCCATCATTAAGCCATTTATAAGGATATGTCGTTTATAAAGATAAAACAGAAATTTTTAATTTTTCTTCGCCGCAAAAGGTCCTCTCATTTTCCCATTAGGAGAGAAGCACCAGCACGTCATCAATCAGTGACACATACTTAATAATATCGTTTATTTTGTTTTTTGCCATGTGTATTCTAAAATGTAGCCAAATATCTAAGACGGTTGTCGAAGATAACAAATGAATTTCTACACATTCTAATAAATCATGTGAAACTAACGACCGTTCGATACGTCTATCGTATAAACGGAATAATAAAGAATCAGTTTTCCTTAGAAAAATAGAATTAATGCATTTTATACATACATTCAGGATATTCCGGAGAATACAAGAAAAAAATAGTATACCCGGAAATTTATTAAAATCGATATCCTGTTTACCTACTTGAATACTCATTGGATATAAAAATTCCGTATTATAATGTACATATAATTTCTTTGTAAATGTAGCTGTTTTTTAGGATCTTTACGTATTATACTTTTAGTACGATGCGCTTCAACTCACTTTGTATCATATTTTTACGTACATAATATAAAAAAAACCAGAAATTTGCATTGAAAAGGTAGCTTCTATATGTACAGCAAGTATGTCTTTGTGTAAAGAAATAGTTGAAAGGACTAACAGAGTAATTTGAAGCTGAAAATAAAAAAAGTTACTTAGTTCTTTTCTTGCAAGCAGCAATTACGTTTGCAAATATTGGTCTTTTACTTTATTTCTTTTACCACTTAAACTGGTTTCCTGAAGCATTAGCTTTCAGTTTCACACAAAGCTTTATATGATGCGGCGTCAGTTGATAAATGGCAGTAAATAATTATTTTACTATTAAACGCGGATATCTTTTATGCACAACCACCTTATAATCGGACTTTTTATCCACACTAGTGGAATAAAATAATTTTATTTCACTAGTAGAATAATGAAAAAATAATAAACCTATAGTAAATCAAATTTAATTTGTTTACTTATTAACATTTGCGTTTATAGTAGGTAATAGTCATTTCGTTTTCTGTTTTATCGCATGTAACTTCCTTTCCGTTAATAACAACCCTTGCAGATTGTTGCCATCATTTTCGGAACTCATAACATCTGCCGAAGTTTGTGAAGAATTTGCACAAGTTACGGATGTCTCTTCTTGTAAGGAATATTTTCCTTGGATTTTCCTTGCAGTATCAAGTTTGTTAGATATATACTCCTCAACATAACTTTCTGCTCTTTCATCCACCATACCGTTTGATGGTTGTAAGATCAGCACCTTTATTGGCCAATAAAGTTTTTGAAGTGCGCCTCATACATTGGCCAGTATATGCTTCTGGATTTGCGATATTCAGGAATGAAGCAATTATTGAGGGTACCTTCGTCAATGTGTTCAATCTAACAGGCTGAGAAGTACATTTTTGATTGATGTATCTTAAAAATAATCTGTCTTGTGTTAGGCGAATTGGGCGCAGATAAATATATTTTCTGCATATTTCAACAGCATTCACGCAAGTACTACTGCCATACATTCTTTTTACGGTGAAATTGTTAAATGTATTGACATAGGTGAGTGCCCCGTAGGCATTTTTTGTGACCTTAGTAAGGCATTCGACTGCATACAGTATGATAACTTACTACAAAAATTGTATAAGTATGGTATCCGGGGTTCTGCTTTAAACTGGATTTCTACTTTTTTTAAATATAGAAAACAATATGTGTCTATTACTTCTACAAGTATGACTTTACTAACAACTTTAAATCTGAATCTAATTCCATTGACATGGGTGTTCCTCAAGGTTCAGTCCTAGGCCCTGTACTATTTATTCTTTATATAAATTCATTGGAGCGTTCGAACAAAAAACCTGACTACTAACCTAGAAAATATATTGTACAATGTGTCTAAGTGGTTCAGTTGTAATAACTTATATTTAAATACCGATAAAACTAAATTAATTAAATTTCACAATAGGCAAAAAAATTGTGAGTCTGTTGCGGCAAATATTAACAACTGTACTATTACCAGTGATGAATCAGACTGTGTCAAATTTTTAGGAGTTACTTTGGATGATACATTAATTTGGAAAATGCATTGCAATAATCTTATATCTATATTAAGTTCAGTAAGCTACTTAATTAAGTGTATGAAAGAAATTTTACACGAAGAACAATTGTTAAATTTATATTATGCGTACGTGGAGTCTAGATTGCGTTACGGAATATGTTTTTGGTGTAACTCTACCTTGTCTCATTCAGTTTTAAAAACGTATTTTAAGATTAATTGTTGGCGTGCCAAGTCATCGTACATGTAGAGATATATTTAAGAAATTTAATGTTCTTACATTAGTATCATTATTTATTTTTGAAATGTCTGTGTATATATAAAATAATAAGGAGTCTTTAATTCTCAATAGGGATATACATACAATCAATACCAGACAATGCTATGATATCCGAATTCCTTTTGCAAAATATACCATAACAGCTAATTCACCAGATTGTTTAGGATTTAAGATATATAACCATTTACCGAGTGAATTCAAGACTGATAAGCTTACAATATCTCAATTTAAACAAAAACTAAAATTATTTTTAGTAAGATAAGTGTTTTTATTCTTTATTTGAATTTTTTTCTGCTGTTGTGTCTTAGGTTAAGTTATTATATGTTTATTTGACTATTGTTATACAATCCTTTTTTGTCCACGACAAGATAAACAACTAAAATAAAAAAATTGTTCTAATTACTTTTCGTTTTTCCCTTCATTCGTTAAATTCGGCGAACACATAATGTTCCCTGGATTTCACTGACAATAAATGGAAAATAGCTTCTTGAGCTTTTTCAAAAGCAGCCACAGGAACACAATTACTTTCTTGCATTTTTACCAAATTCAGATAGAACTGTTTATTAAATAATTTATAATAAACAAGCAACAAGTAGGTATAACAAAACCTACCGCGTTTCATTGAGTACTAGTAAGAACTATCAAGTCGTGCGAATATTTTTTATAAAATTCCAGTAATTCTGCCACGACAAATATGATTGTGATGTGTTTCAATTGCCTTTTATCCACTTAACAATATTAAACATTTAACATTCTTGCGTGGATAAAATGCTACTTAAAACACATAAAATAAATAACTATTATTTTATTTATTATTATTTTTTCGTTTCTCCCATTTTTTTACTTGTATGTTTTTTATCCGTATAGAAATCGGTGTTATTACCCTTGGGTATACATAATTAGTTTCGCACAGGGTTTACAATTTAAGGCATAATTTCGGACTGATAACCAGCAATTTTGTTCGATATTTGCATATTGCGTGATTCCATAACATGCATGGTAATCGGATGCAGCTTAATTATAACGAGTACGAATACAAATGCTATTTTTGTCCTGAAATGTTTATATTGACAGGTATTTGGTAAATAATGAAGAAAACAAAGTGCATTAATTTAATAATAAATCATCCAAAGCATTTTCTAGTCTTTACCGTTATTATAAAATCTATCACTATAAGTGTTGTAAATTACCTACGTAGAGTTGGATCTAAATTTTTATGTTAAAAGAAATATAACTTCAATAAGACATTTATACAGTTGATAAACATAAACAACTGGAACAGTCCCTAGTTTATAAATATTCACAAAAATTTCCTCTCTGAAAGTTGTGGAAATGAAATTTACTTCTCATAGCTTATCTTTCTTTAACAGCTAAAATTTAACTACCTATAAGGATATATGCGCCATCTATGATTACATGATGGCAATAGAAAATGTGTTACATAGAATGCTACAAAATGTTTGCATTTTATAATAAATGTTTCCTTAAACATGTTTTTAGAAAGATATTTTACAATTTGTATACACATTCTTATTGAGATATTATGACATAGCAGGGACTTGTTAAATTCTACGTCATTTTATCGATGTAATTTTTTGTTTGAAACTAAGTGATTATGGTGTTCTCATAAAAAAATTACACCAGCAGCAGTATAATTATAGAAATTCTAGTAAAAAAAGAAGCTACAAGGAAGTTGCATTTATCACACTTTGTCCTGATTTGTGCGAGATGTCAATAATGGCAGAAGTGGAACACGTTCACCCTGAACTAAAAAATTGATTGAAATATAATTAAAATGATGTGGAATTTTCTCTCAATTCCTCGTTCAGTTTATTCTTGATGGGAATCCTGGGGGACAAATTCGTCATGCTAGCCCATTGACCTTCGCACAAATTGTCAAATGACATATCTTTTAATAATGATCCTCCCAGATTTCCAGGGCCCCTACAAGTGGGCTGAGAATCCCATACTTTTTGCTTATTAGTGTCAACCCAGCTAAGAAAGAACAACAAAGACAACATTAATGAGAAATTATCGTCTTTATATTCAAATAGATTTGCTTATTATAAGCAAAGTTACTTACATTGCTAAATATAATATGTTGCAATCACAGTGCCAAGGATTTTTTGCTAGTTTAATTGAAATTAATTGCGTCAAAAAGTCTAGCGATTTGGCTGGTAGGAAGTGGAATTTGTTGCTGTCTAATTGACTAAAAAGGTTAATGGTTTATAAAACTGATAGCTGATAATTAATTATATTGACTCGAAATATGAAATGTTATTTTTTATTTTTCACTTCTATGTCATACTTACAGTTTTTGTAGACTAGGCGTGTGTACAAATATCTTAGAATGAATATCTTGTATAATATTGTTATTGATAAATAATGACGTTAGACTGATTAGCCCATTGAAGGTTTTCTCTTTTAGGAATTCCAAGTTGTTCGAAAACAGGAAAAGCTTTTCCAAATTTCTGTTTTCGACAAAGGCATTTTCGGGAATATCATTTATAAAATTTTGTCCCAGGTGGAGTTCTACTATATTAGTCAGTTTCCGAAAATCGTTTACATCAATCTGAAATTTAAATTTTTAGGTAGTTATACTTGATCGATTTTTTATACGTTAGCAAATTGATTTAGAAAACATTCAGTATAACAAAATTAAGTTGATAATCAACAAAGTATGTTGGTATTGGCATTAAAGTTAATACATGTTTAATAATAAGTAGGCAAGTATATAAATGAAGAAAAATGTGAAAAGTGAATATCTGACAACAAACTTCGTTATTCTTACCACATGAACTTTAAAAAAGTACCTGACTTAGCCTGTTGTTAGTTAATTGCAAAATCTTGAGATTCTGCAGTTTGTCAAATAATTTTGGGGATAGATGTGAAATCCTGTTTTTCCTCAAATTTAATAATTCTAGATTGGCCAGCTTGTCGAAAACCCCTACAAATATGATGTGTCCATTTTGTCTATTTTAGACTCAACCTTTGTTGTATTAACATACCTGTTGGTAGTAGAGTGATATTATTTTCTGCTAAAAACAGTCGTCTCAAAGATTTCAAATCATTAAAAGCGAATTTGGGAACCGTTTCTAAAAAATTATTACTCAAGTCCAAATCTTCTAATTGCTCCAATTTACTGAGGAGAGCTTCGGGGATGCTTTTTATGCGATTTCTTGACAAGTGTAAAAGGATCAGGTTTGGTGTTCCTCTAAACAAGTTCGTTGGCAAGACTCGCATCAGATTATCAGATGCATCAAATGTCTGCAAATTTTTTAATGTTGATAGGAGGTCTGGGGACATTTCCTCTACTTCGTTTTTATGCAGACGCCTGTAACATTCGGGGTAAATATTAATGAATAAACTCTGAGATTGTGGAAAAGTTTTATTATACACTTAATTTTTGCACCAATCTTCACATAAAGTTTAAATTATTCATAAACCGGGAAAATGCTCAGGAGAACATTTTTATGCTGCCTTTTTTAAGATGAAATTGAAAACATTTCTGTAAGAATTGTACTAGTACTTTCATCATCATAAAATATACCTTACAGTACCGATCATAATGTGGTTACATGATCACATATCTAGGGCTTAAGATTTGGAAATATACATATAGAGTTTTTTAGAATCGCATAACTGTAATGAATTTTTTTAGGAAGTAATTTTGCTATGACCAATAAGTCACAGTAATAAAGCGAGTTCACCCATCACACCAAACACCTTTGTTAGCGCCTAATTTTGCCCTGTTTTTTTTTAGCTGCGATTGCCATGGCTTTGAAAACAAAAATGTCAGTATGTATAAGATTAACTTATGACTTATGATATTCGTTCAAGTTTTACTTACAAATATTTTAAGCTGTCGAGGTGCACAAAAATATTTTCTGGTAAATGGTCTATTTTATTGTCGAAAAGGTCAAGTTCTGTCAAGTGGGATAGCATCTGCAGAGCGTTTTTATTCAAAGTTGATAGCCTATTAATTCCTAGGTCTCTAAAACACGTTTGAAACTATATTTGACTTAGTTTTTAATAATGTTAAATTTTTATTTACATCTGTCTTACGTCAAATGGTAATACTTGATCGGCGGGCAAAGCATTCAGTTGATTTTGCCAACAACTTATACTCTTGGTTTCTGGTCTACATTTACAAGGCCCTTTCCCGCAGTCGATCCATCTTTCATTCTGCTTTGAAATTTCCCAGACTTAAACAGATAAAATAGAATATTAATTTTAGTAATGTACAAAAAAATCTTACATATTATTGCGAATCAAGCAGTTGTATACAGGGTGTGGCGTGTATAATCTATAAAAATTAAACTACAGCTTCCTAACGATATTTGTAATAGAAAAGTTTTAAACGAAAAAGTTGTATTTTTACGTTTTTTTTTTCGTAAATTAAAGTTCAATTATGGATCAAAATATTTTCTGTGGAACGGTCCTGTCCATGTGCTGTACGATGAGTTACGTTCTGTAGACCAACCGCGTAAACAAATCGTCGTTGAAAGATAGAAAGATACTTCTCAATTTTTGGGGAATTTTTCAATGCAAAAGTACAAACTAAGAAAAACAGATTATCTTATTATAATAATTAATAGTAATTACTATCTTAAATGCATTGTTGTTACTGCAAGAGTTCGCAATCAAAACCACATTCGTAAGCATCTGTAATTGCCAACTGCGTGCACTAAACAAACTCCATTAAAATATGGAACAAAATGAAATAAAACGTACCATTTCTAGAGAAAATGTTGAAATTGATCGCCATTAGCGCGGATACACGCATGGCACCAACGCACTCAATTTTGGCGAATATTTTCCCAAATTCCAGGTATTCCCCTAATTGTGTCAGCAGCTGTAAGTATACGGTTTCGCAATTCTTCGACGGTAGCAATTGGAGTATTGTAAACCAATGACTTCAAGTGACTCCAAAAATAAAAGTCTATTGGAGTTAAATCGGGTGACCGAGGTGGCCACTGCATAGGACCAAAACGTCCAATCCATCGCTGAGGAAACATTTCATTCAAAAGTGTCGTTACTTATCGAGTACTGTGTGGAGGAGCCCCATCTGGAAGATAAAACATGAGTGTCCGAACTTGTAATGCCACATCGTCCAATAATTCAGGCAACCGGTTCTCCAAAAAGTCATGAGCATATGATGGTCCATTTAGTCGTCCTTCAAAAAAATAGGGACCCACAAGTCATCGCCTACTATGCCAGCCCAAATATTTACCATGAACCGATGTTGAAAATGAGTTTCCCTAATCGCGTGAGGATTTTCATCGGCCCATATGTCCATGTTATAGAAATTCACTTCATCACGGGTAAATGTCGCCTCGTCTATTACACAAATATAAGCAGGAAAGTCTACTTTATTGGCACATTGCCGTAAAAACCATCTGCAAAAACGCATTCGTTGATCACAATCCGGGGGTAAAATCTGTTGAACTGGTTGCAGATGATGGGGGTGCAACAGCTGGCGCCTTAAGATGTGATGTACGGCACGATATGAGGTTCCTACTTGCTGTGTGAGTCGTCGAGTACTAATTGTGGAGTCTTCGTCAATATTTTCCAACACTACATCTTCAACATTAAGGTTCACTTGCTCTCTACGTCCTTCTCCTCGAGGAATAACACTTCCCGTATCTCGCAGACGTTGAACGCACTGTAGGATTGTATTTGCACATGGGGGGTTACGTTGTGGCCATCGTTCTCGGTACAACCTAGTCGCCGCGAGAGCATTTTCTCCGCCTGCACCATATACTAATATAACATCATATCGACACATTCGGAAATAGTAAATGCACTGTTTTCTCGGTTCATTGTAAAACTAGTTTGCGCACAAACTAAAAATTAAGCAAAGTAAGAAATAAGAATCTCGTTTTTAATGTAATCGACACGCTATTTTTATTTTTTACTTCTTTATACAAATTACACTGTCACTATCGTGGAATTACAAAATAAAAAAAATTGTCTGGAATCTTTCACTTTTTAACACTGATGGGTCGATGGACGATGCTTAATATTTAATAATTAAGTCAATAAAGAATTCAATACAAACACAAAATCAGTTGATTGCACAAATTTTTTGACAATGTAACCTAACCTTCTTTTAGTATTACTAGTATTATATTATACCGACTTAAATTATAAGGTTGCATCTCGGGTCGCATAAAAACATTTCCAAAGTTTTTAATAAATAACACAGGGTCGGCCTTCATTTTCTTTGAATAAATGAACTTTAATTTACAAAAAAAAGATAGAACTATTTCGTATAAGATGTATATTTTTTCGTATATTACAAATATCATCAGGAAGCTGTAGTTTAATTTTTATAGATTATACACTCCGCACCCCGTATAGGAGTATAAATGAGAGAGTCCTTCCATTATTTTTCAAAGTTAGCTAGTTCAAAGCTTTAAGAAAATATTACATATTTATATAAAGTGTAACAGTGACCTTGTGTCTAAATAAATGAACAGTAGCGTTTTAAGTGAAACATGGTTTTGGCAACTACAACTACAAGTAAGCTGGCATTTGTGTAAAATATATGCTTCCTAATATTCGGGAAAAAACTCAAAATAAAGAAATATTTTGAAACGAAATGGTTTATCCATTTCAGAAAAAGATGATTCATTTGAAATTAAATAACGTTCTTTTATAGCTTTATAGTTGTATTTTATGTTTTAACAAAATTGATTATTGGCAACTGAAAGTTGTCACATATAAAATTTCATTTTACGAATACATTTACCTGGCTGCTCCAACGACCTGAGCCTTCTTTCCAACTTAATCAAGTAGTTATTAGTATTATTCTCTTCGAGACTGTCTGCAAACTCCCTTAAGTTCATTTGACTCTTTTCTAAAGCTTCACAGGCGTTTAATTCACAGGTACCTTCGTCTCCTTTCACACTGTATAATAGCAACAAAAAATACGGCAAACTCTTCATTTTTCCAGCCTTGCCTAAGCTCTCACAACTAAACTTTGGCGTTGTTACCCTTGGTGTTTATCTAATTTTCTTGCAACTATTTGTCTTTATTAAATAATTTGGGCTGTTTGTTAACCATGAAATTTATTTCCCATTCTTATACGTACTTGTTACTGCCTAGTTTAAAATTGAAATTATCATAATAACAGACTACTAATCTTTTTTTATTAGATGCTTTATTTGTTACTCTTAATGTTAGGGTGCTGCGTTTGAAACGTACAGTTTTATCGCTCCATTGACGAAATATTGTTCTAAACATTGGGAAAAAAAATCTCACCAAATTCACCTCTTATTTTTAATTTTAAATATTCACTAGTTGATTTTAAAATTTTCCTATTCATTTAAAACGTAAACCTACGGTCTTTTTTTTTAAATACTTACAGGGTGGCCAAAGAGCGTGTCAAAGTTCAATACCTCCCTTATTATAAAGATTTGAAAATAAATATTTTATGGGAGTGATCTGCTTAAAGAAGTTCACATTTTAAAAATATTTTAAGTTATACAGGGTGATGCATTAGGACGGAACATGCTTAATGTGGTTTTTCTTAAATGCAACACTCTATATAGTTTTACAAATTTGTATTCTACAGAAAATTCTCTTTCCAACGATGTTTTTGTTTTTTGTATTCGATGCGGCGATGCTAAGTTATTTGAAAAAATAAGTTAATTTTCGCTGGGACAGGGTTCTGTGGATCTATTCACTGTGCAGGTACTACCAGTAATTAAGAAGAAATATTTTGTAAGCGTACAAAGATGTGGACAAACAACAAAATAGCTAAATCTTTATAATTTTGTACAGGGTGTTCTACATATAAACCCCAGTTTAGCGATTTTCGAAGGACATTTTCTTGATTTTTTTAAATGAAACACCCCGTATATTATTTTATTTTTGGTTAATATATTAATTACCTACAATTTTTGTAAATAATACCCTATGCCTAAATCACTATTTTTTGAATTATTGGCAAAACCCTTTTAATATTGCAAATTTTACTTTTTATTAATTAGTAGGCCATGAGTTAAACATCAAATAAAAAAATTTATAACTTATCCTTTATCCGCCAACAGTAACATGATGGTAATTAAGAAGAAACTACAACAGAAAAATGCTAAATTTAATGATTAAAAGTAGATTTTAACAAAATTTAAAAGGAAATGAACAGAATGGAAGAAGTGTTGGTAAAAAATTAAATACTTATATAAAAAAAAAGAAATATTAATAGGTACTAACTAAATAAACAATTTAGCTATCTAACTAAATGTTCAAAGTGCCTTCCGTTAAATTTAAACTCCATCTATTTTGTGAGTGCATTCTCACAAAATGCGGGTTTTCTTTGGCAAAATAATGAAAATTATGTCGGTTGACATTACCATTCTTACGAAAGGTCGCCTTGTCTCCAAAAAGGACAAAATCTGTAAAATCGCGTTCTATTCTAATTTTGTTTTGAACCCACCCGCAGAACTCTAATCGTCTTCTGCAATCTTCGTTACTTAATTCCTGCAATAATTGGACATGGTATAGATGCATTTTATTGCCCTTTAATATTCTTTGAAAAGATTTCTTCCAATATCTATTTGAATACCAATTTCTCGTTGACTAATATGAGGGTCTTCAGTGATAGCCAAAAGAACGTTTAATTCATTTTCTTCAGTGAATGTTCTTTTTTCCGAACATTTTTACAACAAGCTACAGTACCGGAATTATCAAAACGATCCATTACTTTTCTAAAAGTTCGTACACTGGGCTGCCTTTTTTGTGGATAGTGTTGATGATAAATTCGTGTTGCTAATAAAGTATTTTTATTACTTGCATAAATAAATCAGATCAACTATTTCCACTTGAGAAAAGTTAATTTTGAAGTATTTTTAAACTTACAACCCAGCAATTTACACTACTGCAGATTTTGTTATTTTAGTCAAACTCATGGCCTACTAGAGTAATAAAAAGTAAAATTTGCAAAATTAAAGAGGTTTTGTTAGAAAAGTGCCAATAACTCCGAAAATAGTGATTTTAGGCATAGGGTATTATTTACAAAAGTTGTAGGTAATTAACATATTAATCCAAAAATAAAATAATATACCGGGTGTTTCATTTAAAAAAAATGGAGAAAATGTTTATCGAAATTCTCTAAACTGGGGTTTATGTGTACAAAAATTATAAAGATTTTGCTATTTTGTTGTTTGTCCATATCTTTCGTCCTCATGCTAAAATATTTTTACTTAATTACTGGTAGTACCTGCACAGTGGATAGATTTACAGAACCCTGTTCCAGCGAAAATTATCTTATTTTTTCAAAGAACTTGGTATAGCCGCATCGAATACAAAAAGCCAAAGACATTGCTGGAAAGAGAATTTTCTGTAGAATACAAATTTGTAAAAATATACAGAGTGTTCTATTTAAGAAAAACCACCTTAAAGATGCATCACCCTGTATAATCAAAATATTTTTAAAATGTGAACTTTTTAAAGTACTTACATCACTCCCATAAAATATTTATTTTCAAATCTTTATAATAAGGGAGATATTAAACTTTGTCAATCTATCGGGCCACCCTGTATATCTCAGCTGCTTTTGACGTTATTTTATAGGCGATAATTACAGGGGAATCTTCGTTCTTTGAAAGTGCCCATAGTGAGGTCTATGTGGCTTGAACGGTTTTACTGCTAAAACATATAAAGTTAATTTTTATGGATTTTTGCATTTTTCTCATAAATGACATTTTTATAGAAAATTAAATTTCTATAAAAAAGATCTTCAGTATCTAAGCTTAGATATTGAGGATTTTTTTTATAGCAATCAGAATTAACAACTAAGTCAAATCCTTGAATTACCTGCGGGAATTTTTAAAGAAACAATACTGAATTATGCAAAACTATTCAATATTGAAAAAAAAAAAATGGGAATATTTAGTTAATAATAATTTAGATATTTAATGATGTTAGTACAAGTAGTTTTAAATGTATGGTATTAAAAAAATTTAAATACGAAAAAAAAATCAATTCGAAAAACAAAATAAAATAAAAAGGCATATTGAAAGAACGAAAGAAAAAAAAACGTCACTATTTTTCAAAAAGCACCAGTTTGTTTAAAAAAACTCAAAAAACTAAAAATGTATTATTTTATATACATATATGTCTTATAAAACCACATTTCGTAAGGAACAAAATGAAAAAAAAATATATCTTTGGTTTTTGCCAAGTTACAGGTATTTGAAAAAATTTTTTACACGAAATATTCAAATGCTCATACCTTCTTGAGGAGTTGAAACAAAAAATTTATACAATTGTCAAGCTATTCTAAATGCGTAATAAATAATAGGTATCAACATATCAGGAAAATTAAAAATGATTGGGTTACGATTTCAGTGATTTGGCGGATCACGACCACAGTGATTTGGCATGATAAGCATAACACTTTTCTAAAATAAAAAAATGCGTTATAGACACTATAAATTATGGATTCCGTCATATTGACTTATAGTCAATATATAAGTGTTTAGTAATACATTATAACTGACAGTTAAAATCCTTAGCTAAATGTGAGGATTATATCGTACCTAATAGATATTATATTCTATGTTTGTTTTAGAACTTGAAATTGGTACTTTGTTAATGTAATGTTCTTTATAAGATAATTTATTTCGTAGTATGTACTTAGTATTACATTTTGACAAGAAAAGATTAAATCGGTAGATAAGGGGTTAAGAAATTAACTGATACTGTCTAAAATTGTTTTGGTTTGTTCAATTCTACTCACAACGCAAGAAAAAATTAGCACTTGATGTTTACTTTGTCTACATTTTTTTTAGAAAATTTATAGTAATTATTCAAACCTCTGTATTTTTTATTGTACGCAATTTTTATAGCTGTAGAGACTGTACATAATTAAAGAAAAATTATTTTGTATAACCATCTATGTTTTATTTACAAAAGAANGCTATTCTAAATGCGTAATAAATAATAGGTATCAACATAAGAAAATTAAAAATGATTGGGTTACGATTTCAGTGATTTGGCGGATCACGACCACAGTGATTTGGCATGATAAGCATAACACTTTTCTAAAATAAAAAGATGCGTTATAGACACTATAAATTATGGATTCCGTCATATTGACTTATAGTCAATATATAAGTGTTTAGTAATACATTATAACTGACAGTTAAAATCCTTAGCTAAATGTGAGGATTATATCGTACCTAATAGATATTATATTCTATGTTTGTTTTAGAACTTGAAATTGGTACTTTGTTAATGCAATGTTCTTTATAATATAGGCGGAACTGTCGATTATTATCATTGAGGGGACTAATGTCATTTGATATTTTAACAAAATAATTTTGACGTTTTCAAATCAATTTCTAATAATAGTCCTAAAAAAGATGAATTTAGATAGCGAAGATGAGTTATTATGTACACCTCCAGAAATAAGAAAAGTAGCTAATAATGCAATACAGAATTTATTACCAGAAAAATCAAAAAAACAAGTATAAAGGTGTATATAAAAATTTTCAAGATTGGTGTAGCAATAAAAACGTTAACTCGTTTACAGAAAATGTAGTCGTAGATAAAGTATAGTATTCAACTTGCGGTAATGGTCATAACTCACTTGATGAATTACAGCACTCGCCTGCGGCTCGTGCTGCAAACTTCATATGCGTGAGTTATGACCTGCATTACCGCTCGTTAAATAATATACTATTATATTTGCCGAAGAAATCAGTATATAGGCAACTATCCATACACTACAGTATATTCATAGTTGCTTAACTAAAATTTTCCCGGCGCATCCGGCAGATTATCAAAAATGTGACTGTTACTTTAGGTAGAAACTCGAAAAAATGTTTTGCTTAAAATGCCTCATGGTATTCATCTGAAATAAACAGTTTTATTTTATCAAACCAAGTTTCAGTTCTAATGTAAACTTAAAATAATCAAGGATCATTAAGGAAGATGGGATATTTTGTTATTTAAACTAATACAGTATTTCTAGCTATAATTTAATCTTTATTTAAATTAAAAAAAGTAAACATGGTAAGTAAGATATATGTTTAACTAATGATGTAGTTCTATTAAAATAGTGGCACATCCGCTGGTGACATAATTATTAAAGGTTGTGTCGGTGTAAGTAACATTTAAAATGTAGCTTAGTTATATTTGTAGATCGCAAGTTCGGGCAAATTATTGTTTTTCATTATTGACACTGTCCCATTTTCTCTAACGTTTGTTTGAAAGTAATAACTATTGTACTCAGCTGAAATTAAATAGTTTCATTATAAAATGAGTGATGTGTCTCGCTATTTTGGATATTCTGTATTAGTCTTCTGTGAGAATTATGTCAATTTAATATTTTTGTTTTAGCAGATTTGGAGGTTTTTTTTGACATATTTTTCACGAATGTTTTGAAATATACTCACATCCTGTTATGACAGCTTTCATTTTGTAGTTTTTACTAATGCCAGTAATATCCAATTCTGGTTGAGATCTCATTATGAAAGTATTGTTCAAGTAGTAATCTCCTACGTAATAAGGCTCCTAAAAAGTCGGAGACTTTATACGCAGAGGTTTTAATATTATAGAGGCGTTGCTAGATCTAGGCGGGTATCCCAAGTCCTAAAAAGATTTATTTGAACCAAGAAATAGTACACCCATAAATAATACCCATAATAGTAAACCCATAAAGTAAGTAAAAAATGGCATTTTGTTATATCAACTTGTTTTCGAATTGCTTCGAGAAAATTGTATTTTTTTAAATTTGATTTTGGACGAAAATGATCTCTAGACTTCTTTGCATACCTTCTGCAGTTTTGGTACGAGTTAAAAATTTATAAAGAGGGTATGCTTACCCTTCTAAAAATTCTCGTATTCTGATGAATTTGCACATATTCGGGCTAGAAGTCAGCAGAAAAATCATATATTAGAAAAGAGAAAATCTCATATTAAGATCAATTTAACCGGATATAGCATTAAAATATATGTACTTGACATTCTTTTAAAGTAACTATAGTTTTCTGCGTATTTCGAATTGACGGATTCAAGATGGCGCCTATAATTCCGCCCAAAAAAAAACACTAAAATTCACAAAAAAAGCAGTACTAAAGATCGCGTAGCAATGAAATTTACTCCAAAAAGCCTCGTTTGGGGTTTTCCTTGATCATGAATAATATTCCAGAGTCAATTTATCGAATCTCAAAATGATGGATCCAACATGATGCCCATAGGAGTAAAAAATCACAGATATTAAGAAATCTGTACTAAAGATCCAAGAATCACTCATTTTAATTTAACAAGGCTCACTAGGGGGTTCTTTAGACCCGTAGTTTTAATTTCCAAAGTAAGATTGTCGAATCTCAAAATGGCGGATCCAGTTTGCAGGAAGTACTTATGTTTGAGAACAACGACTGAATTTACATAAACAAGGCTTACTAAGGGGTTTTCATTTTTATTTTTTACTTTTTTCTTTCTTAATTTTTAATTTTTTTAATACAGTAGTGCTGCTTTTGAAAATAAGACAGGTTCAATCCTATATAACGCAGAGAGCTTTTTAACGCAGAACGCAGGATGAACGATATGATCGCAAGCATTGAAAAATTTTCTGTAAATGTTAGCGGCTTTTGCAGATAATTCGACTGTAATATTAAACAGAAATCACGAAAACCCTTTAGTAAGCCTTGTTTACGTGAATTCAGTAGTTCAATCATAAGTACCTACTTCCAGCAAACTTTAGGAATTCATTATTGTTATGAGAGCCATATTGGATCCGTCATTTTGAAATTCGACAATTTGACTCTGGAAATTAGGACTACGGGTCTAAAGAACTTCCCAGTGAACCTTGTCATGTTAAAATGAATGATTCTGGAATGAATTCTGCGTGATCTTTAATACTAATTTTTTGTGAATTTTAGTGGTTTTTAGGCGTTATAGGCGCCATATTGAATCCGCCAGTTCGACGCAAAAAAACCATAGTTACTTTAAAATCACCTCAAATACATACATTTTAATGCTATATCCAAATGAATTGATCTTAATATGAGATTTTTACAAATAATCTTTTCTAATATATGATTTTTCTGCTGACTTCTAGCCGCCATATTGGGTAGTTACTTTATAAATTTTTCGAAAGAGCCGCTCGTCTTTCGAAAGTAGTATCCCTAATGAATCTTTTAAGTTCTTATTCGTTCATATCTGCCAACGAGAATTTATTTTAAAAGGTGGACCAATTTCGCCACTTTTATTTCGCTTATTATCCGAGAAGATAGACAACATGAATTAAGTAGCCTCAGGGTCCATTTTCAAGTAAAATTGAGAAGCAAAAGTCGCGTATCAGTACCTTGATTTGTTTAGAAAATGAAAGCGTCTTTGATAGTTTTCTTTAATGCGATATACTTCTATAACTTCCAGTTTTTCAGTTATGCGACAGACTTTTATTTACCTTTTTAAATAGTACACGCTATATATTATTGTCTTTCAAATAATGTGTTATACAGGGTGAACCTGTATCTGTAGAACATAAAATTAATAGTTTCTTTTTAAAAAAATATTGGGAATAAAATTAAATACATTTTTTATTACAAAACTTTTGACAACCGCTGACTTGACTATGATACTTCCGCAGAAAGAAATATCTTCCTGAATTGATAAAAAAAATATATAGTGTGCCATTTGAACAAAGACAGTTGACTACAGCAATTTTGACATATGTTACCAAGGAGACGATCTAACAATGTCATTTGATAGAGTTTGAGCGGCGATTTAAAAATATATAGGGTTTGTTATAGCTATTTGATAAAACAAAAGAGATACGAGGCCGCGAATATCAAATTGAATCACCCGGTATATCAGCAACCCTGCATATCTAAGTTTAAGTTATAACTAAAAAACCAGAAGTTACAAGAGTTCCATTGGATTTTATGTATAAAAACTGTAAAAATTCTAAGAATCAATATTGGAACACTCATCTCAAACAAAAATTTAGACTTAGAGATCTTAATTATTATAATTTCTAATTTTCAGAAAATGGGAGAAATCTCCCAATAGTGTTAACTTGCATACAAATTATTTGGTCTATATCTAAAAGACAAACAACTGTGCTCTGTAACTTACTGTGACGTATATGACAAATTCCATATTTTGTGCAATATCCAATTCAGACTTTTTCGGTATTAATCTGGCACTGTGATTTTTGTTAAGAGAACCTGCTATCACGCCTCCATATTGCAGATCAAAATATTCGTTATCTTTTATGGAAAATATGACTTCCGTATTTGAAATATCGTTGTCATTAGCTACGATTGGGTTCAGTTCTATGAGTCTCTGCAAGTCTTCGTTGAACGTCGAGAACAAAGAGTACTCGTAGATTTCATTCGAAAAAACGGGAGTGTAAGTATTCGTTTCGTGGATAGGAATTAGAGATTCCTAAAAAAATAAGCTGTTATTGATTTACAATTGCAGTTTTATTTAAAGTGCCACGGTTTTTCGGGTTGTTACATTCTTAGGTTTAGTTAGCAATCTGTTGTTCTGGGGCCAGGTTCTGTGATATTGATTTCACTTATTATTAAAGGTTCTAAGGTGTGGGGATTTTTGGGGTGGTCTCTTTAAATAAAATAATGTCATTGTTGTTAACTTTGTTATTTTAAGTGAAACATCCTATATATTTTAGCATTATCGGCAAGATAAATTAAAAATAAGTAAAATATGTTAAGGTTTCCTTGTACCTACATCTAATCGTTTTGACAGATGGAAGCGGTTAGTCCTTATACTTTTCTTTGTTCTGGAAGCTTTAACTTGCTTTTCGGAACACTTAAAGAGAGATAAGATGAACCATTTTTTACGTTACATTTTGAAAAGATAAAACCGACAAAACTTTTTAAATTCAAATGGAACACCCTGTATATTTTTTGTACTTTATTGAAAGTTTATTGAATAGTTTCGATTTTCTCAGATTTTCTTTCATTCTCAAGAATATTACGTTAAAAATATCATAAAATCTGCCTTGGTATTGTTATTCAGTATTCACAAATACCAAGTATTTGCTGGACAAGAAAACTGCAAAATAATTATTCTAATGAAGATATTTTGAATTTATTTTATATACATGGGACATTCACCATGAATCTCAATTATCAGCAGTATTTCTATGATTTGGTATTTTGCAACATTCGAGGACTTGACACGAATGAAACTCGGCCAGCTACGCACAATTGCATTCTTTGTAGAATATTGAAATATTTTTTAGTTTTATTCATAATTACATTAATAAAACGTGTTGTTTCACGTTTGTTGCAACTTTTAAATAATGAAGGAATGTATTTACAAAAAAATAATAATATTTTCTTCTAATGGGATGCTATTATAAATATCTGCAAGTACAATAAAGAGCAAATGATTATTACACACGCCTACAAACAGAAATCGAAAAGTTCTTTCCCAGACTCGGTGACCTTTGGGGTCTCTGGTCACGATATCGGTGTCCATATGACCCTATAGTCCAGACAGTATCTGTTTCAAAATGTCCATATTTGGGTGAATCGTATAACCACGGAAATTTTTGGTTTTTTGGCTTTCAAATATCACTAGAAATGAAAATTTTTCTATGCGCTTAAAAAAACATGGGCTTATCCTTTGGCGGTACAATATGTTAAAAAAATTCGAAAAATGTCATATTTTTCTTCCTACTTAATCATGTATTTTTTCAAGAGTTGATTTTAGGTGAAACTGGAACAGGAAAAAAATGTTTTTACAAAATATGACTAGTTACAAATCTAATGAATCATGATTATTATTGTAAAAATTAAAGAAATCGCCAAAAATGGGTTTAAAAAACATTACTTTTTATGGAATTTTTTGGGGTTTTTATATTGGGTATAGGACCTTCATACTTGGCTCAAGAAAACTTTATGTTATGTAGAATCATCATACCAAATTTCATCAAAATCGGTTCTATAGATTTTGCATAATGATTTTGCAATCTAGATTTTGAAAAAAAATTTAAATTTTAAAAATTTTGCACAGCAAAGACCAACGCCCTTAGATACTTGAAAATTTAATCACATATATAAGGGTTCTCAAGCTTTCAAACTTTTTTTGAAAAATTTGAATCCGTCAATTATGAGAGCTCTGGCGCTTGTTTAAACATTGGTCGAATTTTTGTACTTATAAACAATTAGAATAACTTTGTGAATATTCAATCAAATCAAATTTTTTAAAGCAGTTTTTGAAAGTTATTGGATTCTATAGAATCGATTTTGATGAAATTTGGTGTGATGATCCTACATAACATGAAGTTTTCTTGAACCAAGTATGAAGGTCTTATACTCAATTTAAAGACCCCAAAAGAATTCCCTAAAAAGTAATGTTTTTTAACCCCATTTTTGGCGATTACTTCGATTTTTACAATAATAATCATGAATCAATCGATTTGTAACTAGTGATATTTTGTAAAAAATTTAATTACAAATATTTTTTCCTTTTCCATTTTCGCCTAAAATCAACTCTTGAAAATATACATAATTAAATAGGAAGAAAAATAAGACATTTTTCGAAGTTTTTTAACATATTGTACCGCCAAAAGTTAAGCCCACGTTTTTTTATGCGCATAGAAAAATTTTCATTTCAAGTGCTAATTGAAAGCCAAAAAGCCAAGAATCTCCGTGGATATACGATTCACCCAAACCAAAACAGATACCGCCTAATCTACTATCACATCTAGATCCAGGTCAAACGAAGGTCAAACCCATTAACTCGTATGGTACAATTTTTTTTTTGGTCCGAATACGCTTCGGACTGTTGGTTGAACCTACCTCTGAAGGTTATTTGCAGGTCATCTAGAGGTTAAATTTTTCTTTTAATCTCTTGGCTGATATCTTAGCTAGGAATGGGTCTCAAACCAGTTGACGCTCATGTTTTTGGTGTCACTGATCACGATCCCGGTGTCCATATGACCCTATCATGCCTAAATGAAGGTCAAATGAAGGTCAAACACATTAACTCGAATGATACAATTTTTTTGACCCCGGATTCTGAAAGAGCGGAAAACTACGTCCGAATACGCTACGCTCTGGAGGTCATTTGAAGGTCATCTATAATTTGAATTTTCGTTTTTGGTATCCCAGTTGATATCTCGTCTGGGAAGCAATATATTGGATTAATGATCGCTACAAAGGTTGTGGGAAATCTCGGGGACTCTGTTGTCAAATCTAAGGTTATCCTTTAGGGTTGAAATTTTCAACAGTTGAACGTAATTTGGTAAAATGATAGACTTATGGTCTAAAATTTAAGTCGGTTGAATGTAAATACTCAAGCTTGAATTTGAACATTCAACTGATTTCTCATTTTAGACTATGAACCTATCATTTCACGAAATCATACTGAACTGTTAAGTACGTATTTTTTCTGTGAGGGAGGGACTAATTCGCCTGAACTTTCATAGAGGTAATATGCACGATATTTCGCTTTTTAGCCGATATATCAGAGATAAAAAGAAGGACATAAAGCTCATCTAGTCTGGGAAAAAGGACTTTTCGATTTCTGTTTGTGGCCCCCTGTTATTATCCTTTCATTAAGAAAATAATAAAATGTAAAGCAACCAAAATTTTAAATTATAATTTTCTTTCTCCTTCCAACTTCATTTCAAATATCATGAAATCATCTGATAATCATTTATTAGTTATTTGAAATTATTTATGTTTGCCATTCTTTAAAAACTGAAATATTAAAAATTGGTGAAAAATTCTAAGAAAACCAACCGAAGTCACTTTATTAATTGTTCTGTTTCAGTTGCAAAATACCAAATCATAGAGATTCAACTAATAATTCTGATACTAGGTGAATGTTCCATGGAAAATACATGATCCTTGTAAAATACTGAATGCCAGTACTATTTTATTTAATATAAAGGTAGCGTCCTCGAAAACCCCAGGGCTTAAATTTTTAAAATTCAAATTAAAGTAGTCTCTGAACTATTCTAATGGACCGTCATCGTAAGACAGCCTCTGGGTCAGAGCATACTAACAACCCGAGAAAACATGGTACATTAAATAACAGCAGGGATCTTGAAAGTTTTTACTTACCACCGGGTAGTCGATTCCATCGCATGTGACGGACAATGTAAAATTGTAGTAGAAGGTGTGACTCGGTTGACTGATTTCGATTGTTTCATCTATGGGTTTGACGGAAAGAGTGTACCACGATGTCGCCAGTGTAACATATCTATTGGGTGGGTCTACCACTAGATACGTAACGTCTCCTGGTAAAGGCAGTGATTTAATTATAATATTTGTCCATATTTTTTTTAATACAGAGGGTGCGCAAGAAATATCATAAATCTAAGACTGACGATATGATATTATATTGCGTTGAAATTGATACAACTATATGGGTTCTTCACGGTAAGTGTTCTATTAAACGTTTCAGAGGAACCAAAGACAATATGACTCTGAAATTCTGTTTACGGGGGTTATCAGATATGTTCTTTTATACCGAAAGTAGCTGTCAACCTCGTTATTTAAAATGGAACACTCTATAGGTATATTACTGCATCATCAAGATAAATTAAAAATAGTCAAAAATGTTAAAGCTTCCCTATACCTAAGTTTAACCGTCTTAGAGATAATCGATTTATTATAAAAATTTTAACAGATGCAAGCCTTTCGAAAATTCCTTATATCTTTCTTCATTCTGGGAGCTTTCACTTGTTTTTCGGAATACACAAAGAACATAAAATCCCAAGTGTCGCAATTTTCACGTTACATTTTGAAATCTTAAAACCAACAAAACATTTTAAATTCAAATGGAACACCCTGTATTTTTCTCTTATATTACATTAAAATATCATCAAATGTGCCTTGAAAGGCAAATATTAGTATGTATTGTCATTCTGTATTGTACAAGTGTCAGGTATTTTTTCGACAACAAAAAAGCAGAATAGTGATTATTCTAATGAAGATATTTTGAATTTATTTTATATCCATGGAACATTCATCGTAAATCAAAATTATTTGCTGTTTTTCTGTGATTTGGTATCTTGCAACTGAAACAGAACAATTAATGAAATTATTTCGGTTGGTTTTCTTAGAATTTTGTCGTAAAAGTTTTTAGAGAATAGCAAATAATTTCAAATAACTAATAAATGCATTAATATAATTTTATGATATTTGGAAGTTGAGAGGTTACTATATTTTAAAATTTTGGTTACTTTAAATTTCATTGCTTTCTTAATGAAAGGATGCTTATTTGCTCTTTATTGTACTTGCAGTTACCGATAATAATAATTGTATTCCATTGGAAGGAAATATTATTATTATTTTGGAAATATACCCCTTCATTATTTAAAAGATGCAACAAACGTTAAACAACGCATTTTATTAATGTAATTATGAAAATAAATAAATAAACAAAAATATTCCAATGTTCTACAAAGAACGCTATTGTATGTAGCTAGCAGAGTTTCATTTGCGTCCAATTCCTCAAATGTTGTAAAATACCAAATCATAGAAATGCAGCTAATATTTTCATGGTGACTGTCCCATGTATATAAAATAAATTCAAATCTTCATTTGAATAATTATTCTACATTTTTCTTGACATGAAAATACTTGATGTTTGTAGAATACTGGATGGCAATACCAATATTTGCCTTTCAAGGTTCATTTGATGATATTTTAACGTAATATTCTTGAGTAAACCGCAAATATCTGAGAAAATTCAAACTGTAACCCCTGCAATGCCTATATCGGTGAAAAGGGTGAAAAGAGAATTTAATTTTCTACTCGTATAATATGATGCGGAAAAACACGAGGTGTTTCATTTGAATTTAAAAAGTTTTGTCGGTTTTAATATTTCAAAATGTAATGTGAAAAATGGGACACTTATTATAATTTTCTTCAGGTAATTTTCGTAGCGGAAGGTAGTGCATCTTATGTTCTTTGTGTATTCCGAAAAGCAAGTGAAAGCTCCCAGAATGAAGAAAGGTATAAGGAATTTTCGAAACGCTTACATTTGTCAAAATTTTTATAAAATGTCGATTATCTCTAAAACGGCAAAATTTAGGTACAGGGAAGCTTTAACATTTTTGACTTATTTTTCATTTATCTTGACGATAATGCAGTAATATATAGGGTCTTCCATTTAAAATAACGAAGTTGACAGAACGAAGTTGTTGATGGTATTATTTTCATTGAAGAGAACATATTTGATAACTTCCGTAAACAAAATTTCAGAGCCATATTGTCCTTGGTTCCTCTGAAACGTTTTATAGGCCACTTACCGTGAGGAACCTGTATTTGCATGGTAAAAATTAAGTAAATGACTTTTTACTTTTTTTTAATAAAAAAATATCTTTAAAAACCAGTATTTGCGTGTATTCTAAATGGAAAATGTCAGACCACAGCACCAATTTTATTTTCAAAAAACCTTCATTTGGAATATACTTAATATGCAAAAATTTAACAAACTACTCAGTTTGTTAAATTGAGTTCCCGGGGATAAAACTTTATAAAAAGCTAAGGAAATCCTTAATAGAAACTTTCAGATGGCTTGATAATCTTGATATAGATAAATTGAATTGAATTTCATATGTTCGAATGGTATCAGAGCAAATCCACATTTCTGCACCTAGGCTTTTTGTATATTATACAAAGAAAATAACCTAACCTAAGTTTATGTAGCAACATAGCTATTTACATAATAGTCGAATAGTCAATATCGTCCAAATAATAAGTCGAATGTAGTTCTTCCTATTTCATGTTTATTTAGTAGTTTATTACCAACTACTTCCTCTCAAATCTAACCTAAAAACATACATATTATTTTTTTTTTAATGAAAATATGGATGCCTCCCAAGATGCGATTTTAAATTAAGAATAAGAAACATTTATGATCGCGAGTATAATTAATTTTTAGCAAAATAGTTACCTTCAATTTTTGTGATCGTTAAATAAGTAAGTATTGTTAGTCTTCAATTATCTTAAAAAGATCACCAAGTAGTCTTGGTTTTTGGCTATTTTGCTGAGATCTCCAAATACGATTTTTTTGAATTACATTTTAGGTAGTAATTTTTTCAAGGATAGATTCAGTTTTGCAAAATGACATTTTACATTGATACGTGACTTTAAATCCAGAAAACCTAACCTCAAAAGAGGTCCTGAATACTGGCATATTTATATCCTCAAACATAATATCATATGTAGGTATAGTACAATAAAAATATATGGCTGAAATTTGATTAAAAAAATATCTCTGACGCCTTGTATGTGTTAAATAAAAGACAATAGACCCAAGGCCTATAGGAAAAAAATTATATTTTCTATCTACTTCTGAATTCAACTTACGTCCGAATGAAAGAGTCATTCGTGTAATTTCCTTAATATTGTCGTAAATAGTTGTATTGATGATCAAAGCATCTCCTTCCGGTATGGAAAATATATCTGTACCATTGACACTGCAGTCTAAAAAAATAAGAAATACATGTTATCGGTTCTTAACCATCACTTCCATTAATGGCAATTCTCAACGAATTAAAAAAATCAGTTTTTAACAAAGTGCATACATAAAAATACGTATTTTAATAAGGTTTTCTTTAACAAAGAGAAAAGTATTAATGATGCTTATTTTCTTTGAAATATTGTGAAAAAAACACAATTTTTAATAGAGAGTAACAATTCTGAAATATTTTAATGTACAGATATCAGTAAATACATAAATGAAGCATCAAATACAGGGTGGCCAAATTAAAATGAAACAGAACCATTTTCAGGAACTGCGTCAAGATTGTAGGAAAACGCTCAGACCCGTCGATTTTAGATTAAAGGGGAACATTCTTTGCTGGTATTTTTGACTCCGCCACTTTCACCCCCAAGCAAGGGTAAGCATCACCTCAAAATATTTAAATGGCATTGGGGGTTGAGTAATATTTCTTTTGAAAGCTCTTACAATTCTCTTTACAACAGACTTTAAATTTTATAATTCCGCCCAATACTTATTAAGAATTTTGATTTTAAAGTTGAAACTTATGTACAAACAATTAGTAACGGTAAAAATGTCAGTCATTCGAGTTAAGTACGCCAATGGTATAAATTTAGTATTTCTTGCGTTACATTGGTTTTTGGCGATTTGTTATCACTTTCGTAAAAAAAAACACAATTGTAAAAAACAGAAATGAATGCTATACACACACAATGAACGTAAAATTAGTGGATTCCAAATTATTTTCTAGTATTATTTGGAAGCGTTGGTTGGTAGTTTATTTAATTGTGTTTTTGAAAATTAAACACTATGGTTTATTCCATTGCGGAAAGGGTAGATATCATTTCGCTTTACTTTATGAACAATAAATGTGCGAATAGAACAGCTCAGCTATTTAATGAACAACATCAAGATCGACATGTCAGGAGGAAGTATGTTCTAGAGTTAGTAAAAAAATTTCAAGAGACAGGGAACGTAGCCAATAAAAAACGAGAAATTGAAAAACCTATAGTTAATGAAGCTAGTGAAGTTGCAGTTTTGGGACAAGTTCATCTTGATCCTACATTAAGTACGAGGCAGCTGGCATCTGTGTCTGGGATCAATCGAACTAGCATACAAACCATTTTGAAGAAGAATAAATTCCATCCATACAAAATACATTTAGTCCAGGAACTTCATGAGGATGATTATGACCGCCGTTTGCAATTTTGCGAAATAATGAGTGAGCGAGCAGGGAACGATCCACAGTTCCTTTTTAACATCTGTTTTTCTGATGAATGCAGTTTTTTCTTGAACGGGACGGTAAATCGTCACAATTGCCGCTATTGGTCCGATTCAAACCCAAGAGTTTTTCACGAGGTGCATACACAGCAACCGGAAAAATTAAATGTATGGGCTGGAATTTTCGGTGACCGGCTGGTGGGTCCTTTTTTTCTACCTGGTAATTTGACTGGCCAAATGTATTTGCAATTACTGGAAGACGCTATTGACCCTGCCTTGACTGATATTATTGAAAATGTTCCAGAGTATGATGAAGATCATTTGATTTTTCAACAGGACGGTGCTCCTCCGCATTATGCGTTAATTGTCCGTCAGTATTTGGACCAACGTTTTCTACGGAATTGGATTGGGAGAAGAGGCAGCATTGAGTGGCCTCCACGATCACCGGATTTATCGCCCCTTGATTTCTTTTTGTGGGGATACCTAAAAAGTAAAATCTATAAAACACAGCCAGCGTCGCTGGAAGATTTGCGTCAAAGAATCGTCGACGAATGCCGTCGAATCACTCCGGAAATGCTTCGGAATGTGCGCGAACGTTTCGAACAAAATCTTTATTCTTGTATGGAAGCGGGCGGTCATCAGTTTGAACATTTAATCAAGTAAGTAGTAAGTAAGCAACTAAACATAATTTACATTTTAAAATGTAAATTTTTTTTCAAAGTATTGGGCGGAATTATAAAATTTAAAGTGTGTTGTAAAGAGAATTGTAAGAGCTTTCAAAAGAAATATTACTCAACCCTCAATGTCATTTAAATATTTTGGGGTGATGCTTACTCTTGCTTGGGGGTGAAAGTGGCGGAGTCAAAAATACCAGCAAAGAATGTCCCCCTTTAATCCAAAATCGACGGGTCTGAGCGTTTTTCTACAATCTTGACGCAGTTCCTGAAAGTGGCTCTGTTTCGATTTCATTTGGCCACCCTATATATTTACTATGACCTATCTATTTGGTTATTAAGGAACATTTTTATTTTTTATGGCTTATTTTAATTAATAACATATCCCCACAAAAGGAAGTTTCGTACTAGAGATGAGTACTGTTTTCGAGATACAGTGTGTTGAAGTTGTTATTTTCTTAGACACCCTGTTTTCGAGATACAGTGTGTTGAAGTTGTTACTTTCAAATGGTTTATCTTAATTATCTTTAAATCAGTTAAAAATAAGAATGTCAAAATTTGTACATGAGTAAACATCAAGTGGACGTGTGCAAACAGTTTTTTTCTGAAAAGCAGTGTCGCCGATACAGGTAATTGGAGGGGTACAATCGAAAAAAAATATGTTAAAAAAGTAAAAATTTGTTATATTTTGTATATATCACCACTAACAATAATATTAAACTATACTATAACTAACAATATTCAAAATAGTATACCTATGCAGGGTGTTTTTGAATGGAGTAGCATAAATGATATCAGTGAATCTGCATTTCAAAAGAACACGATCTGCAAAAAATCGCCTTAGTAAAATGTTCACCCCCTGAAGAGATACCGGAAAAATAGAATATACGTTTTGTAATATTATACTTCTACTTTTAAAATCCGGCAGAAAAATTAAAATCGGACCACCTCCAACGCATCCAGGAANCATTTCAAAAGAACACGATCTGCAAAAAATCGCCTTAGTAAAATGTTCACCCCCTGAAGAGATACCGGAAAAATAGAATATACGTTTTGTAATATTATACTTCTACTTTTAAAATCCGGCAGAAAAATTAAAATCGGACCACCTCCAACGCATCCAGGAACTTTGTAAAATAATGCTCCAAAAAATTCAAATTGCAATTATGCCAAAACTAATAGTCCGACAGCGCCTGCTTTGTGCACACTTAAAATACATATAATTCACTACTTTTTTGCACAAGGTCTTCTTTACAACTTAAAAAATTTCGGAGTAATGAATTTTTGAAAAAACGCTAAATTTTCCGAGTTTTCCAGGTTTTATTCGCTTCTAATTACCCGATGGGATCGATCGACCTGTTGTTTTATTCGTATTTCGATTCTCTACAAATTGTCTCTTTATAGCATTCAATTTGCTTCGTTTAGGTTTTATAAGCAAAAAATTAAAAAAAATGCGTTTTTTCTTTGATTAAAAATGTTATAAAGTATTAATTAATGGTAAATTGGAGTATGAAACATATAAGCATATATCTACTCGTACAGACTGTCTTTTATATGACGGTACAGTCCGTTTGCTACTAGTATTTTCGTCACAAACAAAACCTCTATTGATCTATGTACTTACGCTTCTGGTACAGAATTTTTTTTTGGGCTATGTTATTAGGGAACATTTTTATGTCTTATTGCTTTTTTAATTAATAATGTATGTGTGTGAATTACAAGTATCCATGCCAAAATTGTTTTTAAAAATAGTGATTAGCTATAACGCAGCTGTGTTTTGCAAAGATTTTAGGCTAATGATTTAACAAAAATATAACAAATTAATGTAGATATAGTAATTATTAACATACTAACCTGCGGACAATGGAAGGTCAGTTGAAGAATCTTGATACGAATAATAATTATCGGCCAAAGAAACTGGAAAAATAGATAACTACATATTTAATAAATCCAAATCTGGCTAATCGGAAAAAAATTAATAAAATTTTTTTACCTCCAGCGAAGAACACCAACAAGAATGAATTTATGGCTAGATTCGTCATTGTGTTTGCTATATTCACTGTTGATGACTGGCTTCAAATCATTTGTTGATCGCCTTTTATAGTGTATACTGTATTAGAGATGTTTATCGGGTTTGATAAAACGTCTACCCAGAAATAGAATATAATATAGTTACTTATTTAGAAAAATATTATAATGTCGGATTTTAATCGTTTTGGTATTTCCTCATTTATTTTATTTTTTTACTTTTGAACAAGATTTGCAATGTGTTTCGACATACAGTAGTACTTTACACTAGATTCAACAAATTGTATAAAGGCAATTTTTGTTTTATTTAATTAATTTTGGATTTAATTAATATTGATTTTAGAACTGTAGAAAAATCTAGTTTTGTTATACTCAATGGACTGAACTTGAAATTTAGAAAAAATGAGAGTGGGTAAAAAGTAGTATAATGTTATATTAGGATTAAAAATGTTACTTTCGTGGCGAGAAAATATATAATATTGGGGTTGCAGGCGCACGCCATTCTGATGAATGAGTTAATTTAATAATTGATAATGTTGAAGATATGAAATCCACCTTATGAGTAATTATAAAAATTCACAATACCAAAGCTAAGAGACCACATTCTTTTACTGTGCTGGGAGACAGTTATTTAAGTTGTTATCGAAAATGTTGCTTTACGTCCACCTGGATTGGTAGAACGTCGATTATTTCTCAGATATGTTAGTGGAAAGTGTCATCGAATGGTGGTCGGTATTCATAAAATCCTTGCCGGTTCTCAAGAAGTGACAAAATTTTTGAAGGTGGAGAATAGGAAAGAAGTACGCATTACGACGAACATCTGCTACCCTTTTAGTTGACAGCGGTGGTAATCTCACTTGTCTTAAGAGACACTGAGGATGGAGATCGAGCACTGAGGCTTAAGGCTACATTGAAGACACTTTTGAATAAAGAAAATATTGCAAAAAGAATACTGAAAGTTGATAGTTGTAATGATAAAACAAGCACCACTGTCATTTCTGATTTATCAATATCTGAAAATAATATAACTAATAATGAAAACGTGTTGAACTATGTACTTTGAAAATTGCTCCAAGAACGAGGGTAGTGGCAGTTTCAGTGGTTTATACAATTTGAACACTTGTTAGAACTGTATATTTAATATCAATACGGATAAACAAAAATTATTGTAAATATTGCTGAATAAACTTTTATAAATTAAGACTTGATCTGCTTTAGCTTCTAGGATTAAAAGTTAATATTTTTGTTGCTAAGATACCATTTTTTCTTAGTGAGGAAAATGTCAACTTTAGAGACTTCTGACAGTCAAAAAATGTCATAGTTTTGTGATGGTTGGAGAAAAAATGATGACAAACATAATTACATTGTCAAATAATCAGTAATAAAATGTCACAACTGACATATTTTTTCAATACAAAATTTATTCGAAATGTACAACCGAGCTCCAAGAGTTACTGAGTTGGGCTCTTGCCAGACCACTCCAGATGTGGGTCCTGCAACGTATTTCCTCACGGAAGATCGCGACAAGAGAGGTAAGGAAAGCTACTAGCTGATAGAGATAGACATTACCAAAATCTTTTTACTAATCTGGGTATATAATTTATAAGAACTGCTGAGATTGTATAGTGACTGTCGTTGATATAGCATTCGTACTAGGTTTGTTGTTATATTTCATCCGAAATAGGTCAAAAATATTTGACTCAGTTCTAAGAGGCGTCAAAATCATAAAAGTCTTAGAAATGATAAGGCAGACGTACAGAATTATCAACATAATTGATAAACTTTTTGAATATGTAATGCATGATAAACTATAGCCGCTAAAACATAGTACCTATATGTATAAATAAACACCGAAAATTTCATCAGTTTCAAATTTAATTTGCATCATGGCTGAGCATGTAAATTATTAGCATCAACCTGATTGCCAGTTTCGTGTCATTTATACCAATTTTTGCAAACCTTTTGTCTGCCTTGATCACCGACTAATTTTAATTAAATTGTGTTGTGGACCGATATGTGAATAAAATAGAATAATAAAAACAGGGTGTTTCCATTTGAAAAATTTTAGAAAATAAAGTTTAAACTTTCTAAAAATGATCGTATTATAAAAAATTCCCTGTATAAAATATCGATATTAGCTAATATAGGAGTCTTTGCCTAACATTTGCCTATAACTCCGTCAAATATTTTTGCTCCAAGTGTTAGTAGTTGAAAGTTAATACAACTTCTTCGAGGTCATGTTTTTTTCCAAAATTCGAAGAATTTTCTACATAACTTGGCAACCTCGCATTAAAATGATAAACTGGTTATATTGGCATATATAGCATTTTCTCGGAAATCCACATGTTTAAAAATATACAAGGTGTTCCATTTAAAAAAATGTAATATTTGACGTGTCCCGTTTTTACTCATCACCCTGTAAGTATCAAATTAATTTTGTAGATTAATTTTCTTGATTCTGTATAACTTTCATGTAAACTATTTTCTGTATTATGAGTAACAAGGGAGTTATTTTACTTTCACACACTAATGGCCCACCCTGTGTACAAAAGTATGCTCGTGTAGGTGATCCTTCTGTGAGTGTGACGTTTTTTATGTAAAAAATACTAGTGTGTCTGTATTTATACTACCATTGTTTGGCGTTTCTAAATCTATAAATGGAATAAAAATTTTGTTGAGTTTGTGTTTGTTAAATAAATAAATAAGAGGATATTTGAAAAGGATTAAAATAGACTGTAATAGCTGCTTAATGAAGTTTTAATTTCATTAGATTTGTTACTTAGAATATCAATTAATACTGTTTGTTTCTAGTTAATGTTGTGCCGTTTCTAAGTAGCGAAGAAAAAGTTCCAAAGTTTTACCAAAAGAAACTTTGCGAGGCCTTCTATGACATACCGGGATCCATTGGATCTGTTAAGGTAAATGACATATTAACTCTACATATATTTTTCTTTATCATTTGGTTATTTTGCCGCCTGCAAATAAATTTAAAAATTACTGAAATAAATCCTTGCTTCAAAAAACTGTTAAAAGTAAACAAACCGAAAAATCAGAATAAGTTCAGAAGTCGAAAACATAACATTTTTTAAAGTGCGCCATATAACCTACTTATTTTTGGTATTTTGTATTTAACTGCTTTTTTCATTGTGAGACTTTTTGGTTAGGCATAACTACTTTTATGAAAATAACCTTTGTCTGATTCTTTTTGCACAGGTTTATTTCGCTAATTTTTAAATTTATTTGCAGGTGGCAAAATATCCAAAATATTAAGAAGGAAACGAAAACTATGCCAGAAGTAAATAACTACAGACAATAACTCGACACTTTCTGAAAATGTAGGTTATGATGATTCTGGCATGAAAAATTGAAAGTCCACTAATTAATCAAAATTACCTATACAAGTATGAGACATAAAATATTTTTTTAAATTTTGGGAATCAAGTTCTCAGGTTTGAAAAAATAATTATAATGTTGTTGAGAAAGTACAAAACTTTTCAGGCAAAGAAAATTATGTAAAACTTGTTATGCAAATTTGATCACTAAATTTGTTTTTGAAACTTGTACCCCCAATTAAATACCTTATCAAAACAGATTTATCATTTCCTAGCACCGTCTTTCTGTTAATCTTGTCTGATTAGTGATAAGGTTATTGATGAGACACTTGTTTTGAAATCATTTTTAGTATTTACAGATTGCAAATTTTTTCAAACCCGAACTAATATTGACTATTTGTGATAATTCACAGAATTTTAGTATTAAATGTTATTCGTTATAAAATTCTGTAAAAGTAAATGTTAAAATAAAAGGGTATAAATAAATAGATATATATTTGGTTATTGTTGTATATATTTAACATACTGTAGATCCACATTAATATAATTATTGAAAACTTAATTTTATTTTAAGTCTACAGCGTCAGGAATTGTGTATTACAAATTTTACCAGGTGACAGAATTCTTCAAAATAAAAAGTTCCCATAAGCATAGATAGGAAAATATTGAATTTCCAAAATATATAGTGTTCATTTAAAAAATTACAAATTTTTTTACTAGCTCTCATATTTTTACACTTTTATAAGGATATTGAACTAAATCAAATAAATTCAATTTTTTTCTATCAAAATAATGTCAAATTAAAGTCAAATAATGTTTCTCAATACGAGAAATCTACAGGGTATCACAGAATAACTATTCTTAGTTTTCAGAAAAGATAGAGGGCACTTAAATAAACATTTGTATAAACTAGTGTCCAGAAATACTTCCGTACCGAGATAAAATGAACCGGGAAAGTACAAGTTGAATTACACCAACATTTGAAAAACAACAACTACTTTCGTAGTTGTCATTTTACATGTCACAAATTAATCTTTATTAGATAAATTAGTGCTTGATTGAAAATGCATCATTTTACAAATATTGAATAAAAAAAATGCAGAGCAGCATCCTCAGCGTCATTTTCAAGATTGCACCAGTGTATTCGAGATACTGCTGAATTCCAAGTAAAGAAAATAGATTCTGGAGCCAATCGTACTGTCTGAAATGTTGACTTTGAGGACCAAGTTTTGCAACAATTTGAAAATCACCCGAATCCAAGCACTGGTGCCATTACCCATGCGATGGATACACGTTACACATCTGTATGGAGTATTTTAAAGGAATATCAGAAGCATCCGTGTCACATTCAAAATGTGCAATAGTTAATTCCAGCTGATTATCCGAACAATTTTACGAATGGTACTTGAATAAAATTACACACAATGGTCACATTTGGAGCGAAGAAAATCCTCACGCCTTTCACAGTTTACATCATCAAGGAAAGTTTTCTGTTAATATCTGGGCTGGGATTGTTCACAATTATGTAGTGGGACTATATTTACTGCCTGGATGTCCCTCTTAATATTCGAAGAAATGTTGTTTTCTAGCATGATGGTGCACCAGCACACTTTGTATTAAATTACCGAAATTATCTAAATGTACAATTTCCAAATGGATATATCGGAAGAGGCTGGCCGATTTCGGCCTGCACGTCCACCAGATATGACTCCAGTTGATTTTTGTGTTTGGAGTCATATTAAATCACTGCTTTATGAGACACTTGTTAATACAGAAGGAGTGTTAGTCCGCAGTGTTAGTCAAAGAATTCGGCAGTGTATACACATAGTTACAACTTGTGTATCGAAAATGGTGGTCGGAACTTCGAACAACTTTTATAAGTTACTACTTTTTCCTGTGGTAATTCAGATTATTTTTAAAGATTTCCTTATCTTGACACCGAGAAATTTTCGGACACTTGTTTGTTAATTAAAGAAACGTTTATTTAAGTGGCCTCTTATCATTTTTGAAAATTAGGAACAATTATTTTGTGGCACCCTGTAGATATGCAAAAGAAATCTAACCTCACAGACACAACACTCCATATGTGTTGGTATATTGTAAAGAATATTTAATTTTGTTGCAAATTTAACAAAAGTGAATATAATACTCCCAAATACTCGGCTAAATAAAGTATTTACAGTAAATAAAGTGACTTTTCTAAAAACATTCTCAGTGTTGAAAATCTCTTCTAATAATGAAAATATGACAAAGAAACAGAAGTCTTTTTAAACGACTTCTACGTCTTAGGTACAAAATAACCTCATATTTATATCTTTATAAGTGAGGGAGTTTCTTGAAAGTCGAATCCTTGTTTATAGGAAGAAAAATTATAACAAGGTAACTTGATACAAATTGGTTGTTTCGATATTGGGACTATATCAGAAAATCCGTATATTTACTTAGTACTGACTGCATCAGTATTCTCAATCCTCGAAATCACGCATTAAATATGTATTGTTATTGACAATATCCCAATTTTACTGATAACTTCTAATTACTTAATCGAATTTTGTTTTCCTCATCTAAACGACTAGTATCGCTTGAATCACTTCTATGTCTGCAAGAGGCTTCGCATTATAAAGGTCCAATTTTAAAGTTCTGGTTAATGTACCATATCAAAAACAGATAAATATGACGCAAAATTTTACATCAGACCACAGTCTTACATGATAAAAGTTGAAATTGCTGTGTACAAGTTAATCGTTAGGCGGTTTGAATAACAGTTTATTAAAAAAACATAGTTTCAGTTTCAACTTAAACAATAGGTATCTCGGAAACTAAGCATATCTCTCTCCATCAATGTTTATAAGAAGTTTTTTCATATTTTGAAAGAGTTCTATCGTCTGGTTTGGTTTATGCAATTTGGGGTACGTCGTAAGTACAATATTAATATGGTATATCTAACCACATTGAATTTTATGGTTGATAGAATACTAAACTATGCATTTTAGGATCCATGAAGTTAGCCCCGCCATTATCGTGTTTAAAATAAATTTATCAGTAATTCATAAATTATTTGTCAGCTAAAAATTAAAAACAGTAAGCCGCACATTAAGAAAGATAATAATATAGAGATAATTGTACGGAGGCCATCTTCTTGAAGTCCCGCATATGTTGAAATTCGAAACTTGTTTACTTATTACTAAGTCATTTGTGAGTACTTGTGAACCCGAAACTAAAATTTGAAAATTACTCGTTAGTGCCATTAGTATTTTCATTATAATAGTTTCATATTATATGCAACTATTAGTATAACTACAGTCTCATATACTTACGGATAGTTCTATATTATCCTCCTGCAGTAATATTGCTTAATAACCCTTGGAATTCACTTGTAATCAGTAAATATACAGTCTCCGGATCTATGCTTTTCTTCATTTAACAGACTTAATTTCTGAGATTGTAAATGAACAGTGAAATTGGAGACACTTTCTGCAAACAGGCTATTACAAATTCGAAATTTTGGAAGTCCGTTTTTGTTTCATCTCAGCCTTGTTTGAGGTGATATTGAAAAAAGAAGAACACTTCCTCGTAGCCACGTTTTGCCTTCAATCCAATGGCATAATCAATTTTTAAACGTTTCGTCTTTCCAGAACCATCATCAACTTCATTTTTTAAATACGGCCCTGGAAATTTTATAACATTTTTTGCAAGCTTTCATGACCCCCAATACTGTATTGCCTGAGCTGTATTTAAAAAAATAAAGTTGATAATGGTTCTAGAAAGACGAAATCAATATATTAAAATTTTATATATAAAAATTGATTATGCCATTCGATAGAAGCCAAAAAGTTGCCATGAGAAAGTATTCTTCTTTTTTTAATACCGTCTCAAATAAGACTGAAATGAAACAAAAACGGATTTCTAAAATTTTTTAGAGGCATAATGTTGTTCCTCTGATTACGCAACTTTGCCCCGATTGATGCTAGTTCGTATCTCTTATCGTTTTCGAGATTCCTGTAGTGAGAATCGAATTTGTAACAGTCGGTATAATATATAGAGTATGTGCAGAAATTGAAACTATTGTCGCCTGTCACTTTTATCGAGCTGCTCGTGTGTTGCCTGCGGTACTAGGACTCTCTCTCCTGCTCGCCGGCAAAGAGGCAAACGGGGTGTTCGGACGTCTCCCTCATTACGCCAAACTCAACGGACACTTGGGGGTGTGGACGTTGCACTGGCCGATTGTCCTGTATCGGAGGCGAGATAAGTTCCTGGAAATGTGGGCGACGGACTAATTTATTGTGCCTTTTTCTGCTTTTATACATCCTCGAAATGGCATGGTTTCTGGAGGTTTTCAACTGAGCCTAAATGCACTAAATATGGTTTTGGGATATATGGTTACTCACTGTCTTTTAGGCTTTGCCTCGCCTAGCACTATTTTTGAGGTCTTCTCGAAATTTGGAAGCTTCTTGGAGCTTGTGTAGATCTTCTGTGAGTATCTATGAATTTGGGAAGCCTCTAGGAGGTTGATGTATCTCTTGCGATCTTGACCGCAGGACTGGACAATGCCTGTGTGAATAGGGCATTAGAACTGAGGTTTAGGTCGGAAGCACTGTGATGGCAAACTTTGGGAAAAAAATAATTGCTTATGTTCTGAATGATAAAAAATGGATTTATTGAAATTCTGCTAGTAACAATATATGAGTATACCTATATGTATGCTGTTTGTTTGCACAGAATTCAAATAAGAAATGTTATGTCGTACATGTATTCTATATTGTGGTTCAACAGTTCGAATTTCGCTTTTTTAATTTTTTGATATCCGAAACTAGGGTGATTTTTTTTAACTTTGGTGCGCGTTACTTCTGACGGTGTCGTCTGCTGCGGATCTGGTGTTTATGGGCGGCTGGGAACTTCGTAAAGAACTTCGGCGGAAATGGGTTTCTACTTTGGTTGGTAAAGTTGAGCTCGTGGCTTGGAATACGAACTATATTAAGTTCAAAATTTTTAGATCTATCGTTATAAAAATGTATTAAGCATTTTTAATTATTTGGCAATTAAATCAACCAAGTTATAAAATGCGGGGCTAACGTCACGAATTATCGATTTTTCTTATTAGATATCTCCTTTATGGGATACTTACAGATTCTAATTTATGACATACAAATACCTACAAATATTTTATTACCTTTGGGAATTTGAAGTTACCTAGTTTTTTTCACAATGTAATAATTTATTTAATTCATTAACCAGGGTGGATCTACTCCTAGGAACAGGGCTCCTAGATTTGTTACAAAGGAATCTGATACTCCTAGTCCTGGAGATTATGATTCAAAAATTGAAATCAAATGTAAAAGAACCATACCTTGCGGTGTACGACCTAAGAAATTGTATGTATGTCGTATTCCCTTTTCGGTCAAAGGTTCTGCTCCTTCGATGCCTATTGATTCCTATGGGTACAATCTGACTAGAAACGAGAGTTTGATTAAAATTCCACCGAAAGAACTAGATTTGACTCTTGGTCCAGCATATTATCAAGTGGTAAGTATGACTAATTTTATTTATTAAATAAGCGATTTTGATTACCCAGTGGTTGACTTATAAATATAATAAAACATACAATTAAGTGCTATGTACAGGGTGCACCAAAGTTCGCCTCTCGGGCCCATAACAGACAAACGACAGTAAAAATCTGTTTAGAAGACGTGAATCGGGGTTCGCTAAGGTCCGTTTCGCACTTGAAAAACATTTTTTCAAAATTCGGAAAATAAAAGAAATTACGTCATAAACTTTTTTTTCCACGAACATACCCATTTTTTAAGATAACTAAAATTATCTATTTTATATGAAAATTTTTTGTGCAGAAATTTTTGTCTATCTCTTCTTAAGTTACAATAATAAACATTATACAAACATGTATCCTACCGTATTGGAATTAGGTAGTCATGATGTAATCTACAGGGTGGTCCGAACTTTATGCAGGAAACTTCGAGGGCAGATAGATCTCCTTAAAATAATATGTGTTTGCCTTATAAACATAGGTCTGGAACGGCACCGTTTTAGAGATACAGGGTGTTGAATTTGTCAAAAAAAAGTTGATTTTTTGTTTATATCTCCGGAATCTATTAACCGACCTCAATAAAATTTGGTACATATAATGTATGATAGTAGCCCTTAAATATGAGCTTTAAAGATTCAACCAGTGGAGTACAACTGGACAGGGGTCACCCCCTTTTCTACAAAAAAAACCTACGCCACTGCATTTTTTACATGTCATTGTAACTGATTTGTATTTTAATGCACAAAACACGTAAAAAAGGTGACTTTAATTTTTTCCCTAAGATTCGCCGTTCTCAAGTTATTCAAACCAATACAATCCCCTTGTGGCAGACGCTTCTAACGAAAATATTACAAGAATATTTGTTTATGTTTAAAAGTAAGTGCAATTTGAAAGCACACCAACAAAATTATTTACACTCCTTTCTACACCACCTGGGAGGTAGTGTGCGATATAAACAAAAAATCAATTTTTTTTAAAACCTCAACACCCTGTATCTCTAAAACGGGGCCGTTCCAGACCTATATTTATAACGCAAACACATATTATTTTAAAGAGATCTATCTACCCTCGAAGTTTCCTGCATAAAGTTCGGACCACCCTGTATATTGCTGTGAAAACAATGACTGTTTACATATTAGTTTCTGTTAAACGCTATTTGTTGAATGATAAACAAACTAGTAAGTGGTTGCTAAAAATTAAAAAATGTTCACAAACAATGAAAAACTTGACATGATTTTAATTTTTGGTGAATGTCAAAGAAATGCCAGAAGAGCTGCTAACTTATATCATGAGAGATATCGAGAGCGTCAAGCTATTAACCCAAAAATATTTTGCATGCTAACGAAAATGCATTTTCATCAAGAAAAGGGAAAGAAATTTTAAAATCAGTGTGTGACGATATTACCGTAGTTGGGGTATTAAAATATTTTGAGGAAACTCCTAGAAATTCTATACGACAGGCCACTTTTGCATTAAATTTAAAAAGAAGCTCTGTGCAAAGAATTTTGAGGTCCAATGGTTACCATGACTATAGGCTAAATAACTTGGAGCACTTATCTGACATACATGCCGAGTATTATGGAATAAATGTTTAATGTGGCATTATTGAAAAGCATTTAATTGGCCCATACCTTTATGAAAATGTATTGAACGGTAATAGCTATTTACAGTTTTTGCAGGAGGAACTAAGGAATTACTCGGCCTGCAGAATGGGTTTCAGAATCTCCAGACTTAAAGCCCCTAGACTATTTTTTATGGTAAAAATCAAGTATATAAGACACCCACGAGAAGTTTGGAGCATTTAAAGCAAAAGATTCAACTTGTTTGTGAGAATCTTTCAAGAGAAACGTTGTTTAAAGCTACAAGGGAAGTTAGGAAAAGATTGGAAAAACGCTTAGAAGTAGGAGGCATGCATATTGAAAATTTTCAATAATATTCATAATTTTATATTTTGTTTTGTGTTTTGTTATTATTGTTATATTTATTAGTTACAATTAAAATTATTTAATATTTTCTATATTTGGTTATCCTATTTAACCATCATTATGTGTATTGTTCTATTTTTCTTCGTGGAGTGACCTTTTTTAAGAACATATCAACTNGGATCGAGTTTAAAGAACAAGAAACTCAATTTAAAATTTAATTTTCTATACGGTCATATTTTTTTTGTCCAGGTAATAATTTCTGCAAATTTAACATTAATCCGTGACAGAATGCTTGGACTATATAGGCTAAATAACTTGGAGCACTTATCTGACATACATGCCGAGTATTATGGAATAAATGTTTAATGTGGCATTATTGAAATGCATTTAATTGGCCCATACCTTTATGAAAATGTATTGAACGGTAATAGCTATTTACACTTTTTGCAAGAGGAACTAAGTAAATTGGAATTACTCGTCCTGTAGAATGGGTTTCAGAATCTCCAGACTTAAAGCCCCTAGACTATTTTTTATGGTAAAAATCAAGTATATAAGACACCCACGAGAAGTTTGGAGCATTTAAAGCAAAATATTCGACTTGTTTGTGAGAATCTTTCAAGAGAAACGTTGTTTAAAGCTACAAGGGAAGTTAGGAAAATATTGGATAAACGCTTAGAAGTAGGAGGCATGCATATTGAAAATTTTCAATAATATTCATAATTTTATATTTTGTTTTGTGTTTTGTTATTATTGTTATATTTATTAGTTACAATTAAAATTATTTAATATTTTCTATATTTGGTTATCCTATTTAACCATCATTATGTGTATTGTTCTATTTTTCTTCGTGGAGTGACCTTTTTTAAGAACATATCAACTGATATGTAAACAAATTTGTGACAGGAGTTGCAGCGATTAGTTTTTCACAGTAATGTTGATTAAGTCATGACTAGTTCCAATACAATAGAATACATTTTTGTATAATGTTTGTTATTGTAACTTTTTAAGGAGAAAACAAAGAAAGAGAAAAAAATTCTGCATAAAAAATGTTCATAAAAAATAGATAATTTTAGTTATTATAAAAATGGGTATGTTCGTGGAAAAAAGTTGTAGACGTCATGTTTTTATTTTCCGAATTTTGAAAAAAATGGTTTTCAAGTGCAAAATGGACCTTAGCTAGTCCCTATTCACGTCATCGAAACAGATTTTTACTGTCGTTTTTCGTTTGTCTGTTACGCGAACTTTGGGGCACCCTGTACATGGTATGACAAATCCAAAAATGTTATACAATGATTTAGGAATAATTGACCACACTCAAAATTTGAATTCGTGTGTCAAAATAAAGAAAAGTCCTATCAAGAGTGTCTGAAAACAATTTTGAGTACGCGGGCCCTTAAAGTTTGAAAAAACTTAATATTTTCCAAAATATCTCTGAAACGCTGTAATAACCTACTTTCGAAAATGTGCAAAGAATAAAGAACATGAACCAACTATTGGGATGATATCATAATATTAAGGATGTTTTTTATTTAATATAAGTAAAAAAGGAATGGTGAAAATCGATTAATTTTTTCAAACACGTGTCAAAACTTCAATTTTCACAATTTTAACCCACAATGAGGTTCATATTCTTAGAAAACATGTTAGTAACGCAGAAAAACAACCATTTTGCTTTCACATCAAAATTGCGACCTCCACATTTTCCAGGAACAATCAACTCGGACCACGACCTTCGGTGGACAACAGTCCATAACTTCGGCATTTTCAACACAAATGACTTGAAAATGGAAAAATTGTAAATGCAATTCAAAATATTGATAAAATAATGTCAAAGTTTGATCAAATTCTAATGCATTCAAAAAAATGCATTAGAAACGGCTGAAAATCAACGTCCTAATGTTGTTTCTCCCCTTAAGGCAAACTGGGATTTCAGGAAAGATAGAAATAAATACAAGAATAAAAAATCTATTTAAAATTTAAAAATGAAATTAAAGCAAGTAAGTAACGAATAGTTTTTGCAAATACCTATGAAAAAAACGAGAGAGGATAAATAGGTACTGAGGAAGACTGTGGAAATAATTTACTTGGTTTACAACAAATTTTCTCACCGATAGTCTGCTATACTTTTGACCTTGGATTTGACTTTCACCACAAGTTGCAGGATCAAACTAAGGTTTAGTAGGTTTAGTAGTTTAGTAGCAAAGAAATACGCTATTTTATGCCAGTACCTAAACGATAGAACGCCAATTTGAGATTAAAGAATTTTTCCAGAATTTCCTTGAAAGTCGTTTGAAGGTGAAATTAATTTTTCATAAAGAAATAATGGAAATAAAAGTAATAGATTCTAACAAATTAATTTGACTGGAATTGTTAGTATGACCATTTCGGAATATAAGAGTAGATTTTAGTAATATAAAAAAAATTGATGAAAGGCAATTCTGGATATCTAATCCGCTTTAGGTTCAAATCCAAGGTTACCGTCTAATTTGTCATTTAAAATATTAGAAATTTTGCTCAAAACATTTTTGTCCAGTTATTCGGAGAAAAATGAGTTTGAATATGAAACTTTTCTGATAGGGTTCACTAGCGAAAAGTTATTACTATTATATACTATTGCGATTACTGAAAATAGTAATATTTGCAACTAAAAATGATCAAAAATTGCAAATGAATATACAAAATTACTAGAAAGTAAAAAGGTTATTTGTTTCGAACAATATACTCAATATTTAATTTGGGTAAATTCTAGTATTGAGTCTGCCGATAATATTGAATTTAAATGAAAAACTTTTCAAAAAATTATATTATTCCGCTAACTAACCCGAAAACTTGATATTTTTTCATTTTACTAAATTTAATGGTAGAGTATCCTTAAAACGTTCTGAAAATTTAATCTTGACACTCCAAAGCTGAAAGCTGAAAAAGTGCTGTTCACTCCCCCTCTTCAGAAGGTCATAATTCCCTAAATTTTATATTCCGGAACTAGTTTACGTATCAAAGTGCCCTTAATTTTCATTCTAAGTAAGTTCTATCACCGCTTAAAATAATGATAGTGCATTTTGAATAACCTTGAAGCAAATTTTCATTTCTCATTTTTCATATAATGAAGATATCCAATATATTACAGGAATCGTTTGTCTTGAAAAGCATTATGCACTTTATACATTTGGAAAAAAATTAACAGAACATGATCATTATTTATTCACAAATTGTATATGCAAATCTTCATTTCACTAAATTTTCAGTTATTTTTACTGATTCAATATTTTAAATCTTTTAGGCGATATTTTTTTACTACTAGCACCTATTCCTTTATAATTTTAAATAATCCCATTATTACCGCCATCTTTTATCAATGAAGGGGATCAAAACATTATATTTTCTGGGTTACAGCCCTGCGACATAGTTTCCCATTCAGACAAGGGGTGCAAATGGTCAAGCAGAACAGGGAAGCGTCCTTTTTATGAAACCGTCCCGGGTCCCGGCCCGGCGGCTTACGACGTGGAGTTGCCTAAGTATCGGAAACGCGCAGAAGAAGATGAAGTCCGCGAGATGGCGCGCCGATTCTCTTTCGTGCCGAGATATCTAGAAGCCCAGGAATTGAAATATCTCAAAGAGGTAAGTAAATGGATAGAATTTTGAATCGGTTAACGAATTATACAGGGTGTTACAAAAAGTAGGTCATACTATTAACCTTAGATTCTTTGAACGAAAATAATAGGATATTTGAGCTGTCAAAGTTGAACTTAAAAAAATATGTATTACCTAATAATTCTTCACAAACATATCTAATACAGACGTACTGTTCATATAATTTTGGTCAAAATATGAAAATTGGTAACCATTTATCCATCCAATTTTTTCCGACTGTGATTAAAATTACTTTTATATTATACCAAGGGATTGCTTCATTGATATTCTCCAGTCTTGTAAAATTTTGAAGTGGGGTTTTCGATGTAGAACTTTTTCATATACAGGGTGTATCTAAATAACACCGAAAAAATGTAAGGGCGATTCTCTGATGAAAATTAATAGGGGTCATTGGTATACAATTTTTTGGAAAAACTCTCCCCTGAAAAGGTATGCCCATCTAAAAATTAAAAAAAAGTTTTTTTTTATCTTCCATGTGTATAAAGCTAAAGAAACCAAACTTGGTGAACATTATCTGTCAAAAAACTATACCTTTTCAATTTTTTGTCGAACGATCTAGTGGCCCGTTCTTTGCAATGGAATCCAAAACAATAAATTTGAAGAAGATAGGCCGCGATCAACACATTATTTAATCATTTCTTAAAATACACTCGTGTTAAACAGCTCATCTTTTTAAAAATGCATTGTAATACATTTATTTTTTTTCTAATAAATCCTTAATTTTTCGAAAAAACTTGAAGAGGTTAAAAAGTTAGTAGGTAAATGAATAGGGCTTCTTAGACATATTTTTTAAAAGGAAAAAATTTTATAAGAACAAATGTCATAGGAGTTGATTATTTCAACCCCTTACAAAAATACTTCAGGGTTGAAAAAATTTTAAAAAGTGTAGTTTTTTTGATAGATAATGTTCAGTACGTTTGATTTCTTTAGCTTGATATACATGGAAAATAAAAAAAACATTTTTTTTAATTTTTGGAGGGTGCAACTTTTTTCAAAATACTTTATACCAAAAACTCCTTTTTATTTTCAGCAGAGAATCGCCCTTACATTCTTTCGGTGGTATTTAGATACACCCTGTATGTAATTTTTCAATTTACCATGCTCTTACGGGGAAGTGCAAGAATTTTTGAGAAAATTTCAGAGACTTAGAAGTACTTCTCAAAAAAAGTCAGTTTCCCTAAATCTGTGCCTTTAATTTATCTTATTCATCATCACCATATTCAAATCGTTGTATATGACGTAATATCCAAAGCAAACTTGTATAGTTAGATACTATATATAGGGCGATCCGTAAGTAATAGTCCATGGAGGCATACTTACTACATTTTTTACATCAAAATATTACGATTGGAGTTGGCAAGCTTTAATAAAATGTCGATAATAAAAATGATACAGGGTGTCAAAGTTGGAATTTAATAATTTTTCCCAGTCATTACAGAAGTTGTTGGTTACGAGAATTCATAATCTGTTATCATTCTATCTATTTCAATTAATCTTCTAAAGGGTGCCACATAACTCATGTTTAGAAGTAAATGTGCGCATAACTTTGTTACTCGTAACATTATCGTTTTTTTTTTTATTGAAAACTCTTAAACCTACCTCATTTTTGCAGGAAAATGGTGTACTTGTCATTAGTCTTAGAAATTGACCGGTTCCGAAATATTCGCATTTCAACACTCAGGTTGCATACAATGTAAAAAAATCGTGACTGAAAGCAATAATGCAACGGAGTGAAATCATGAAGTACATTTTCACCCAATATTGAGCATTCTGATAATTTTACACATTTGTGATACTATTTGAACTAAAACTGAATACTTTCACTCAAATATAGATACCCGTTAAATAAATTCTGGAGATAAACTCGTATTTGGTGCACTTGTAGCTAAATCGGAGTAAATGTCGTCATTATTGATTGACCCCACCACATTTTATGGTTGTCGTGCGTTGTCTTTGTCTATTCCCATCGCCCTCATTAGGTTATCTCGTGGCGTGGTGTATGGCGTGTAGTACTGGACAAATGTTCTTGTGAGTAAAATTCGCTCACTTCTGTTGTAATAGTTTCACACATAAAGTTTTAGTAGTACTCATACTAAGAGAGTGAAAATTTCACTCAATCGGGTGTGGACAGAAATTGATACATTATTAAGTAAAATTGAGTGAAATTTTTTTACAGTGTAAATGCTTTCATCCTTTTGCTCACGAGACTTGGAACAAAATTATTTATTATGGATATCGTCTGTTATTAGTTCCATGTAATCTTTTTAGATTTGAAAATAAATGTTTTCAAGGTACCCAATCAGATCTGATAATTTGCCTAATTATCAATGTCAAGTCTATCAATCAAGCTTTATAAAACATGTCATTTAGATATAAGAAAAATAAAGAAAAATTGTTGTTATCGATTTATCGGTCGATGGAATAGTCTGTGGAATTTCCGGATTGGCTGCAGGACATTAACCAGCACACCAAGGAATGTTAATTCGTGTGCATCTCTTCTGTTTTTGAGGCAATTACCAGCGCGTTTACTGGGTGGATTCGTGAAATATATCATAATTTATCCTAATTAAAACACCCCAAGCCGAAGTCGCATTCTCAGAGTTGTTTGCATTCGAATTAAGTAAAGGAAAATATAATTCTAGCGCCCACATATCGAAATTAATAATGTGGACATGCTCCCGCCGTTCAAATTAATTGTCGGAAGGCAAAGTGGCTAATTATAGCCTCTATCTGTGCCTCGTGCTCATGGAATAGGAAAAAAGTAGCTCCACTATATGTGTTAGTAAAGTTTTGATGATAAATTTTAGAAGAATTAAAGATCGTCTCTACAATTTTGATATAATATAAACCACGAATGAAAATAAAAAAATAGAAACTGCTACTTATGCGAAGCAGAATTTAAATGAAAAATACTTTGGATTTTTTATTTTTTTATTTTTAACAATCATTAAAGTCAGTTTAAAAATACAGAGCTGCGGGCAAAAAATGTTTAACCTAATTCACTTATGGTTTGTTATAAAATCATTCGAAGTTATTTAATCGTTTTAGCTAGGAACTTTTTTTTGTCCGCGACAGTATGAAACAAAATGTCTGTACCGTTTTGAATGACCTAAAAAATGATTCATGAAAGATAAATGCTGTTTTAGATAAAATGAGATTAAACATAATCGTTTTGTCCCAGCTTTTAACCAGAAACTGATTGAAAAATGTATTTATATTCTACAACTCGTGAAGTACCTACTTGATTTTGAAACTAATTTATTTTATATCTATTTTATTTAATATTTTCACATTTGGGGCTGTCAAAATGTAGTTTGCTGTTCTATTTTGTATTTGGATAAGTGTAACCTATGTGAATGATTAAAATAAAAATATTTTAATGTTACAATAATTCTCATAATTTTAAGATTATTTTTCTTTTTTATCTAAACATTTGAATTATATGTATAGCCCAGTCATTATAGACATGAAAGAGCCTGTTTATTTGTCTGACAAATAGTAAAAATAGTGTGTTTCTAATTAACTATATGTATCGAAATGCATTACTAGGCCAATCATTATAGCTTTTTTTCGGGAAAAAAATACTATTAGGAGTTTATCTGCGGAATATTGTTCAGAAACGTGTTATAAACAAAATATCAAAAAATCNCAGAGACAAATAAAGAAAAATTGAGTTGAAAACTTACGATCCAGCGAGAGCATAAAATATTTTCCTCTATATTTGGCATAATATGCACAAATATTTTAATTCTAAACAAATTCTGATAATTAATTTTACATAAAAATACTATTTTACCTATGCAAAATGTAGAAATTAAAATAGACTGTACATTTAATGGGAATTAATTGAAATCCTAAACGACTGTTCCTAATGAAATTCATAGTTTGTATGAAGAGGTCACGTTGACATACAAAATAAGTGTTTTAATCAAGAAGGTTCCTTTCCTAAAATGTAAAATTTCGATTCAAAACTCTCTGTAGTTAATATTCATAGTTACACTGTAAATAATCGGTTTGAATGAACACTTTAAAGATACTGACATTTTTCACTTAATGAGCATCTTCATGAGATTTTTGGGTAGGCATAACAATTTTTTAAAAAAGCTTGGCTGAATCCTTTTGACCCAAGAATTTATTTCAGTGCCGCCAAAGTTAGTAGCTATCAGTAAATTAAATGCATTGATAGTACCTTCAAATAATATAATTTTTACAAAAAAAATATCCAAATTTAATAAGAAACAAAGCAGTTATACCGAAAAATCAATTTTTATCTCTCAATCCCAATAGTTAATAATACTACCGAAGAAAAATACATTATGTATACCTGTAACGTTCTTTGTGCAAATTCTACTCAAATCCAAGAGATTACCTATGTTTTTTTGAACACCCTGGATGGCGTCCGATTCATTTCAATATCTTGTATGTCGAAACGAATCATTTTGAGTGATTTCTTTTTTCACTCAATATTTAGATAATTAAAAACCAAGTCTGAGCAAAATACTGCTCAATACAGTAAAAAATCGTTCGAAGTGAATCTATCCAATATTGGGCATTTTGATAATTTTACTCATTTGTATATTTAAACTAAAACTGAGTACTTTCACTCAAATATAGGTACTGCCTAAATAAATTCTGCACGTAAACTCGTATTTGGTGCACTTGNAGTTACACTGTAAATAATCGGTTTGAATGAACACTTTAAAGATACTGACATTTTTCACTTAATGAGCATCTTCAGTGAGATTTTTGGGTAGGCATAACAATTTTTGAAAAAAGCTTGGCTGAATCCTTTAGACCCAAGAATTTATTTCAGTGCCGCCAAAGTTAGTAGCTATCGGCAAATTAAATGCATTGATAGAAGTACCTTCAAATAATATAATTTTTACAAAAAAATTATCCAAATTTAATAAGAAACAAAGCAGTTATACCGAAAAATCAATTTTTATCTCTCAATCTCAATAGTTAATAATATTACCGAAGAAAAATACATTATGTATACCTGTAACGTTCTTTGTGTAAGATCTACTCAAATCCAAGAGATTACCTATCTTTTTTTGAACACCCTGTATGGCGTCAGATTCATTTCAATATCTTGTATGTCGAAATGAATCATTTATGAGTAATTTCTTTTTTCACCCAATATTTAGTTAATTAAAAACCAAGTCTGAGCAAAATACTGCTCAATACAGTAAAAAATCGTTCGAAGTGAATCTATCCAATATTGGGCATTTTGATAATTTTACTCATTTGTATATTTAAACTAAAACTGAGTACTTTCACTCAAATATAGGTACTGCCTAAATAAATTCTGCACGTAAACTCGTATTTGGTGCACTTGTACCTCGTTACTGAGTGACTTTAAATGTATATTAATTTCGAGTAATTTGAATGGCGCCGTGAAGATGGCACCACTTACATATTGCTTCTGTAATCTCGACCACAGTTGATAGGGGCCTGTTAGATGGCTCCAGAAAAGCGTGATCGCCAGGAGAATAGGCCCTAGCCGGCGGCGGCGGGTCTCAGCTGGCGGGTCTCAGCGAGGACAGGAGTAGGCCCCCGCGAAGTGAATTAATTTCAAAAACTCCTCTAAATTGGATTTATATACTCAGAATAGAGTCAAAAGTCACTCAGTTGCTAGCAGTAACTCGGATTTGAGTAAAACTCACTCATTTCGAATGCAATACTTTCACTCAGTTATACTCATACTAACAGAGTGAAAATTTCAGTCAATCGGGTGTGGACAGAAATTGATATATTATTAAGTAAAATTGAGTGAGATTTGAGTGAAATTTGAATGACTTTTTTACAGTGTAATAGTTAAATTTAAATTATATTGGAGAAAAGGTCAACCATTAATTAATTGTTCTTAAATCCTCAGAAGAGTGGAAAATAGAAGAAGTGCAAACTAGATAGTTGGCAGAAATTCACATCTCAGTAAAATTTCTCAGTTCTGTCGCAATAATTCAACTCACAAACTTTTATTTGTATTAATAGTGACAATTTCTCTCAATCGAATGTGGACAGAAATTGATATATGTATTATTGAGTGGAATGTGAGTGAAATTTCATGTGATTATTTTTTGTCAAAATCATTTAAGGATATTCGTACATATTAAATGTTGGAAATGAATTAGATATTTATGTTTCTAGCACAGCAATAGATTGAAATGCAAAGAATAAATCAAGCTTTTATATAATCGTTTTTTAATTAGAAGTTTCCTATATTGGCTCACATAAAAGTACATAGGTATTTGTAAGTTTATCACAAGCTGATTTATCTGTCAGTGTTTATTTTTCAATGAAAAATAAAAAAGTTTTCTCTATTATCAACTTCAACCGTGGGCACACTGACTTCGATGAAACATTTTTTTTTTTCAATTTTGCCCTATCAATTATGTATTTCTAAAATAGTAGTTTGTAGTTCGACCTCATATTTTTAAATAGCACATTTGTTTTAATTTTTTTACATAATATTGAAAATATTCATCATCCGTACACTGTAAGAAAAATTTCACTCAATTTCACTAAATTTTACTCAATAATATATCTGTCCACACCCGATTGAGTGAACTAAAATTTTATTATTGAAACTACTGCAACAGAAGTGAGTGAGTTTTACTCAAAGTCGAGTTTCTGCTAATTATCAAAATTTGATAAAATGAGTGACTTTTAAGTCTATTCTGAGGATGTAAAACCAATTAAGAGTTGACTTTTTCTCTAAATTTAACTATTATTGAGCAATTTTTTACTCGGACTTGGTTTATATTCTCTTTAAATATCATTGTGTTAACCTCATAAACTAGCTGCCACAGTGATTTCTACACAGATCTGTTTTAGAGACAATGTTTTAGGTCTATATTTGATTGAAAGTACTCAGTTTTAGTTCAAATATTTTCACAAATGAGTAAAAGTTTTAAAATGTTCAATATTTACTGAAAATGAACTCGACCATTTCACTCAATAGAGTCACTCCGTACCTTAATTGCTTTCACTCATATCAATTTTTTTACAGTGGATTTTGTAGTTTATACTACTCTAGGCAGATCAAAGCTTTATTGTTAAACTAGTGCCTGTTATGTAACTGTTTTTATTAAAACTTGCTACATAAGGTACTCATTATAAAAACATAAAGGAGAAGAAATACCCCATACCAGTTCTGCAGTCGAGCTGAGACTTAACTCATTACTTTTTCAGCAGAAGCCCCAGTTTCAAATGTATGAAACATTTTTTATGGCTCCACTAGAGAATCGGATACATAAAATTTCGAGACAGTAAAAAGAATCGTTTTGTTTTTTATTTATAGTGGATGTAACCCTAACTCTCTCACGGATGGAATTTCAGATTAGGAAGGGTGGCGGTACTAAAGAAAGCTAAAAGCTACTAAATTGATTGTATTTGTCACTTGTTTTAATCATGTCTGAAAATGTGTTACGTTAATAATTATAATATTCTGTAGGATTTGCCTGGGCCAGCGGATTATAGTACTGAAATTCGCGATATTTGTAAAGTATGTCCTAGCCTAAAACCTCGTCCTTTCATCTGTGGTAGCAAGAGAGTCACGATAACAGTTTCTGATAATCCAGGACCAGCGGAGTACGATATTGGAAATGTGGCAAAATATCCTGTGTCGAAAAGAGACGTGCCATTCTCTATAGAGTCCTCTAGGTTCGACAAAAGAAAAATTGTTGGAACTCCTGGTAAAGAGTTGGCTAAATAATAATTAGTAGCTTATTAAAGAAACTTTTATTTAATTAAGAATAATATCTTGGATACATTTAACATATTCTTTATTTATTGGGAAATTTTAAACACGCTTCTAACTCATCAAAAGCAATAACTCTTGTTTATTAACTATTTTCCAAAAGCACACAAGTTACATTTAGAGTTTCCATCTTTTCAAAACAATCAAGTGCCAAGTCTTATACAAGTAAGCTGCTGTATATTTGAAAAATCTAGTGATTCTTGAACAGATCTCAGATACCTACCAGAGGTAATACAATGAAGATCTCTTTTCTGAGCAGCAGTGTTATTTGTCAAAAAGTAGAGAAAAATATATTCTTTTCATTTATTTTACTTTTGATAAAGTTTAATTTTATGCTACTTTAAAGGCACTGAAGATACTTACAAATTAATTCTAACAATTATGCTAATGAACCTTGAGTTTTGGAAATATTATTTGTTCTATAGTGCTTTACTTTTAAAATTCATTCCAGTGTCACACCAAACATCCTTCCTTGATGCATTTGTACAGGTTGAAACTTAAGTGTATACCTATATATCTGAGCGATCTGAGTCCAGAGAAAGTTTTTTTCCAAAATTAAAAATATTTACGAAGATTTTAGTTTTTTAAACTCTACCCCTTTACATGCACATTTCGAGAATCGCTGTCCACGTGAATCATAACCATTTATACTAACTAAGGCACCAAAGGATTGCGATTTTCTATATCATGTATCCATGGGGAATTTTATATAGGGTGATTCACAAATGGTGACCAAAAATGAAGCCTATTCTTTGACGAATTTTAAAGGGAGTCTTTCCAATAAAGTTTTTATCTAGAATGTTTCGTTAAAAAGATACAGGGTGTTAAACTTCAAAAAATATTTTTAATTTTTTTAAATAATTTAAAAACTAGTAAGTGAAACAATTTGAAATTGGGCACATGTATTTATATAAACATTGTCCAAAATCTGAGGGCTTTTCCTAAAATTTACATGCTCCAGTGGCGGAGGTACAGGGTATCGGTATGGTTTCTAAATAGAATAGTACACCACTGCTTTATGGTAACAACCATGATATTCTAGGATTCGTCTTTTAATTTTCTACAAATTACTACTCTCTTATGTTATTTATTCGAATAAATAAATTAATAACATTAGACATTTTTTTTGAGTAAATGCTCAAAAATACCTCCATTTGCACGAACATAGGCGCGACATCTGTTTAGTAAAGAAAATGTAATTTGTCCGAAATTTATTATTGCTTGATTCTGATGAAAAGCATTATTTATTATTTCTTCTAACTGCTCAAGTGTAGTACTTTCTTCACTGTATATCAGCCATTTAACAGCACCCCACAAAAAGAAATCCAGTGAGTTGAGGTCTGGCGTTTTCAATTCGTTTTTTAAGTTTTACTCGAAAGTCAGGCTTTTCGAAAAATATAAGAGTGTAGTAATTTGTAGAAAATTGAATCTGAATCCGAAAATATCATGGTTGTTACCGTAAAGCAGTGGCGTACTATTTTATTTAGAAAATTATGGCACCGATACCCTGTATCTCCGCCACTGGAACATGTATATTTAGGAAAAGCCCTTAGATTTTGGACAATGTTTACATAAATACATGTGCCCAATTTCAAATTATTTCACTTACTAGTTTTTAAATTATTTAAAAAAATTAAAAATGTTTTTTGAAGTTTAACACCCTGTATCTTTTTAACAAAGCGTCCTAGATAAAAACTTTATAGGAAAGACTCCCATTAAAATTCCCCAAAGAATACGATACTTCATTTTTAGTCACCATTTGTGAATCACCCTGTATAGAAAAATGATCTAAATCTTTTTGTTTTATACTGCTGTTTAAATCTAACCCTAATGCACTGTAACAGAATCTAGTTTAGAAAATAGTAATTGGTTTGATAAGCGCATTAAAATTAAATTATACGGTATCCATAACCCCATCTTAAGTTCTTAGTAAGGAAAATCCTAAATCAGAAAAAAATTAATTTCAGTAAATTAAATATTATTTATCATAAAGTACTTACAACATTTGCAGAACAAATTTATTAAATTACTCAAAAGCAACTGTAACAAATAATTGCTTATCTATTTATTGAAAAATAAAGAACTTAAACAGATTATACAGCCACACAAAAAAAGTCCAAATCCAAGAGAGCCACATATTATTCTGTAGTCAAAATTCATGATTCCACGACAAATTTAGGAGAAACGAGAAATTTTTGGGAAATAACGTTTGAGGCGATGAACACGATGAAATTAGTAAAATTTACCCATGACCTCGATACTTCTCAGAAAATCCACTATTTGGGTGAAAATTGCCCCAAAGATGGGTCAAAATTGATTTACATAAATTAGTGGGATCAAAAAAAAAATCTAAATTTTCGGCGATTTTTCAAATGGCTGTATCTGATAAAAATGGTCGTATTGGAGTAAAAAAAAACCAATTTGAAGCTTGAAGTTTCTAATTTTTGGATCTTGTAAAAAAAAAATTTTCAAGTAACACGTATCGCGTAATCTTAATGAATATCATGAAAAAATTTTTTTTTCAATTTTATTTTTGGTGTACGGACTTGAAAAAAAATTTTCCAACTTAACCACCTTATGGATTAGATAGGTTGTTCATTTAGCTTCAATTTCGGCTTTTTTTTTGGTCTCGATATGACCATTTCTCGCTGAGCTATCGGACTTTGAATGAAAATGTATCATTTTCTCTTTGTTCATCGATATCTCAGAAACCACAGAAAATCGACGGTGGGTTTCGAAAAATTTTTTTTCATGATATTCATTTTTTTACAGATTATGAACATTTAAAGGCAAAAAAACGTGATCCCTTAATTTTTTAAAAAATTCAATCGAATGAAACAAAAAAACGGGTTGATGGATCGAAAGTAGTCATTTTCCCAATATTCTCAATGTGGCACGTGATTTTCTAGAAGACCCCTAAAAGTCCTATTTTTTACGATTTTTCAGTCATGTTAAGGATAAACAATTTTTTTTCTAAAAAACCGTGCCAGGACCTTGTAGAGAATTCAGTCTAGTTTCTAAAACCCACCGTCGATTTTCTGTGCAACCATTGGTTTCTGAGATATCGATGAACAAAGAGAAATTGATCAATTTTCATTCAAAGTCCGATAGCTCAGCGAGAAATGGTCGTATCGAGACCCAAAAAAAAGAAATTGAATCTAAATGAACAACCTATCTAATCCATAAGTTGGAAAANATTAATTTCAGCAAATTAAATATTATTTATCATAAAGTACTTACAACATTTGCAGAACAAATTTATTAAATTACTCAAAAGCAACTGTAACAAATAATTGCTTATCTATTTATTGAAAAATAAAGAACTTAAACAGATTATACAGCCACACAAAAAATGTCCAAATCCAAGAGATCATTCTGTAGTCAAACTTCATGATTCCACGACAAATTTCGGAAAAACGAGAAATTTTTGGGAAATAACGTTTGAGGCGATGAACACAAAGAAACTAGTAAACTTTACCCATGACCTTGATACTTCTCAGAAAATCCACTATTTGATTTAAAATTATCCCAAAGATGGGTCAAAATTGATTTACATAAACTAGTGGAAAAAATTAAGGGATCAAAAAAAAATCTAAATTTTCGGCGATTTTTCAAATGGCTGTATCTTTGATAAAAATGGTGGTATTGGAGTAAAAAAAGCAATTTGAAGCTTGAAGTTTCTAATTTTTTAATCTTGTAAAAATTTTTTTTTAATGAATATCGTGAAAAAAATTTTTTTTTAATTTTTTTCGATCTTATTTTTGGTGTACGGACTTGAAAAAAATTTTTCCAACTTATCCACCTTATGGATTAGATAGGTTGTTCATTTAGCTTCAATTTCTTTTTTTTTTTTTTGGTCTCGATACGACCATTTCTCGTTGAGCTATCGGACTTTGAATGAAAATGGATCATTTTCTCTTTGTTCATCGATATCTCAAAAACCAATGGTTGCACAGAAAATTGACGGTGGGTTTCAGAAACTTGAATGAATTCTCTACAAGGTCCTGGCACGGTTTTTTAGAAAAAAATATTTTATCCTTACTGAATGACTGAAAAATCGTAAAAATAGGACTTTTAGGGGTCTTCTAGAAAATCACGTGCCACATTGAGAATATTGGGAAAATGACTAATGTTAAGTGTGCCTAATTTTTTTTCTACTGAAAAAAAGGTGGTTTGAAAAAAACTGTTTGTTTTAGTGTTCTGTAAATTCGGAAAAAGCGCTTTATGAATTCAGAAGTATCGCAGCAATAATCTCTGAAAAGGGTGTAGATCAAGGTCAATATTCGGTTATATTAGGAGTATCAACTTTTTTAAATTTAATTAAAATTCGGTCAGCATAATCACGAAATGAAGTAGGGGAATCGAGTCGAAAATGCTTGGGGATTACTGAGATAAATTTTCTGGAGTGAATCCAACGAAAAAATTTTTCAAAAAAATTTTAAAAAAAAATTTCAAAAATTTTTTTTGTCATAACTTCAAACGCTTTTCGCACGTGTGTAAAAAAAGCGTAAATCCGACCGTGCAACCTACACGTGGTACGCTTTGGGTAACGCTAATGCCGGCGGTTTTGCAAAATTTCTGAAAATCGGTTAAAAAAAATTTCTTTTCGAACAAATTTTTCAAATTTTTATTTTTTTTTTCATAATTTCAAACACTTTCTGCAATAAGAAGGTAAAAAAAAAATCAGGAAAAAAATGTTTTTTTCATTTTTTACAGATGAGCATTTAAAGGCAAAAAAACGTGATCCATTAATTTTTTAAAAAATTCAATCCAATGAAAGAAAAAAACGGCTTGATGAATCGAATTGAAACTCTGTAGGGCTTTTAGGGGTACAATGACCTGTAAAAGGCACACTTAACATTAGTCATTTTCCCAATATTCTCAATGTGGCACGTGATTTTCTAGAAGACCCCTAAAAGTCCTATTTTTTACGATTTTTCAGTCATGTTAAGGATAAAAACCGTGCCAGAACCTTGTAGAGAATTCATTCAAGTTTCTGAAACCCACCGTCGATTTTCTGTGCAACCATTGGTTTCTGAGATATCGACGAACAAAGAGAAAATGATCCATTTTCATTCAAAGTCCGATATCTCAGCGAGAAATTTTTTTTCAATGTATTCATTAAGATTGCGCGATACGTGTTACTTGAAATATATTTTTTTGCAAGATCCAAAAATTAGAAACTTCAAGCTTCAAATTGCTTTTTTTTTACTCCAGTACGACCATTTTTATCACAGATACAGCCATTTGAAAAATCGCCGAAAATTTAGATTTTTTTTTATCCCTTAATTTTTTCCACTAGTTTATTTCTAAATTTTAGCCAAATACATTGTTTTCGTAGTATTTTGGTCAGTTTTAACTTAAATAGGGGATTTTCTGAGAAATAATAAATTGGAATAAATTAAGAGAACAAAAACATATATGAAAAACACAAAACTTTTAGAAAAAAATTATAATCTAAACGACAGTGTCAAAAGTATTACTAGATTAATGTGAATTATTTTAATTTAATACATTCGAATTTTTTTGAATTAGACTAACACACAGTAGAGTAAACATACGAGAGCCAATAATAGAATATATGAAGCATTCAATGCCAAATCACTGAGATGGTGCCCCGACCATTTATATATATATATTTTCAATTTTAGGTATTATTTAGTATCCATTAGTTTTCCTGAATTATTTCAAATTTCTATTTAAACCCCTCAAGAAGTTATAAGTATTTTAAGTAAAAAAATTCAAATTCCTGTAACTTGGCAAAAACTAAAGATATTATATACTTTTTTCTTCATTTTGTTCGTTTTGAGTTTATTTTTAAACTAAAAAAGTACTATTTGAAAAAGATCCCACTCTAGAACCTGTTTAATAAATTTGCATATTGCATATCGAAGGAAAAATGCGTCACTCCTTTTCAAGATTTAGGCATGGAATGCCCCATATGTTCTTTTTTAAATAAATGTTCAAAGTTTTATATGTTTATTTTGTATGAGAATGTGTTTATTTTTCAAACACAAATTGATTTTCATTGTTTCTTTGTGAGGAACAACAATTATACGTTACATGGTACAAAATATAGAAGTAACTATTGTTTCTTATTTTAGGACCTGGATCTTACAACATAAAGAGTCCATTAATTGAAAGAATATTAAAAAAGAAAAACCAATATTCACTGATAGAGATACCTTTCAATAACACGGCCAAAAGGGACGTCTCAGCTGTTGATCCTTTTGTTGCTTCATCACCGTCACCCGCGAACTATTGTAAGGAGACCCAAGGCCGATGTAAAATATTTGTGACAAGTGTTTTTAAGTCGAAAACCGTCCGATTTAAACCCATCTGCAAAAAAGTAAGTAACCTAAGTTAAACCGTACACTACTTCTAGTTAAAAAAATCGGCATCTGTTTACTTTGAGCTTCTAATAGGACACATTATTGTGATAAATTAGTTAGCCAGCAGGAAAGAGAGAGGTAGAAGTAAATTTAATTCTGTATTTGACCAGTTAGTCATAGTATTGCATTAGTGATACCGAAAGGGTTCAACCGTTGTTTGCAAAAACAACATAGGTATAAAAAACAACTGCAGGGGGAACAAATTTTATGAATTACTCATACTTACCGGACTGAGTATTTGGCAAATCGATATAACTTTATAACTCCAGCCACTTTTAAATTATTATTTTTGAAGGGACCATAATTTTATTTAATACCTAATAGAAGTTAATAAATTCCCGTTAAACTAGAAGCTGCAAGATGCCTCTAACACAAAGCACCTCGCACGGTCTTTATGAAAATGTGGGCTCGGTCAAATTGGCTGAAATTGTGGTAAGTTGTTGGTTTTGTGTTACTGATCAAAATTCTCCACATTAGTTGGATCCGAAAATCAATTTTTTCCTATTTATAGCAATCTAAGTCAGTTCTGATGATGATGGCTGTGAAGTACTATGAGTAGGATATTGCAATAATAAATATTAAGGAATCGCTAGTAGAGTGTTCATGTAAGAGGTAAATTAGTTAAGAGTATTTCGTGAAATTAGTTATCAGCGATCAAATACAGTTGTTTCCTTTTCAGGTATTTTGTTAGTTTGTTTTCTATTTTTCTCGAAATTATAATTTTATCTCAGTCAATACATAATAAACTTCTGTACAATGTTTCCTACAAAGTTGATCTTTTACATTATTCTTTGAAAAAATAATGTTGATACTAGTAGTACTTATTAAAGATTAAAGTTTAGACAAAACTTATATTTAGATTAATGACTTTTTGTAAACAGTAAATGCATGAACGTGTTTACCATAATGTTTTAAGTTATTTATTTGTAACACAGTTTTAGTTTTTTCTTTATTTAGGTACTGTGCCACTTATGAAAAAAAAATTAAAAATTAATGAAATATACCTACTCTTGCGCCAAAAAGATCAGCTAAGGGTTATTTTTTATGAAAATACTAACCTAACGCTTTGCCTAATCAAAAATTTCACCAGTGTCGTAACTAACTATATTTAGGGCCCCTCGCTGAATTTTGCAGCGGGCTTATTTTTAAGGCGCTGAAGAGAAATGAAAATCAATATTTTGTACTGTATTTTAACAAAAGATAATTCGATAATATTTAATAGGTACTTATATAGTCCATGGTCTTACGGTCACAAGTTGAAATTTCCCACTTTTAAGAAACAATAAAGTTTGATTAATATATAAAAAATATAACCGTAATATATAAAATATATAACCATGTACCAAATTTGAAGATGATCGGCCTAGTTTGATAATTTTTTTTATTAGCTGAATAATTGCATTTTCAAAAATAATGCCATTAAATTTGAAACACAAGTATAAATTTTAATTTTAAACTATTTTTTTAATACAGAAAAGAGTATCACCTACACAAGATACAAAAAATCAGAGTCAATAACAACTTTTAAATTTGGAATGTGGTGATTTAATTCTGAAATTTTTTGATACTTTACGAGCAATAATGTAATAATATATAATACATCACTTTGCCCCTGATTGTACTTAACATTTTAAATTTATTTTAAATGACGTTTTATAAGCAGGGTCGTTTTTCAAAAATATTATTTCTGAAATTCACTGAAAGGAAGATATTCACAGTCCATGTCTGACTCTGAGCCATCTGAGTACAGAGCAACAACTTCTTTTTCATTCCGAACTTATTCAATATATGTATCTTCTAAAAGCGGGAAGGTCTAATTATACTTTTATTAAAATTTCTGAAGGTTTTTTTAAATACAAAATAATATTTATATTGGCAATCGTTTATATCCTAGATTGTAACAAAAGTTCATTATTTCCAGTTATTTTTCTAAAATTCTGCGTTCAATTTTTTCGGATATTTTAGATTTCCAGTATTTAACCTTCGGAATGGGCCCTATGGCCTGTCGGAGCCCTCGCGATTACGAATAAGCGAACCTAACCAGTCCCACGATGAATCTCACACTGACATAAATAATTACAAAGTAGAAAGTACACATCATGACACACAGCACGTTAATAAGTCGTTGGTTTCCGAAAATCTATTTGTCTTCGTTATCAGAACAGAATGGCACTTCGTTTTAAATTAGCTTCTTTTTTTGTAAGAATTAATTTAAAGTGTCATTTCAGTTCTGATAACGAAAACAGATCCCATCAACGATTTATTGCGCGAAGTGATGTTTATTTTGTATTTTCTATTTGTCTGCTTATTTCAGTGCGCGTTTTTTGATTAGGCAAAACAATTTTCATAAAAAATAACCCTTGATTAATACTTTTGGCACTAGGGCTTATTTAATTAGTTTTTTAATTGTTTAAAATACTAAAATAATAAAGAAAAAAAAGACATCACTGAAAGCAAAGTCATTTTTTTAACAAGGATAACAATAAAGTGGACGACTAAAGGAAAACTGTTACGTCTTCAAAGTATTATGTTTGAAATGTGACGAAACTTTTCTTGCCAAAACTCCATCAAGTTAGACAACAACTTTTTCTTCATTACTGTAGAATGTAGTTCCTTAAAACTGAAAACGATTCATCTCAATTATATTGTTATTGGGTGCGATCTTTGTCGTTTAGCAGCAGGAAATTGGTGTCCTAGTAAATTAATGAGGATCTTGATAATTTTGTTTTGGATTAAACCTTATGCAAAACTGTTCAAAATACTGTCTCGAGTAAATGTAAATGAAACATTGTTTAGTCAATAGTTATTTCACTAAAACTATGTAATATAATTACAGGTAGTTCCCTATAATTTATAGATGGTTTTCTTGGGAAAAAAATTATCTATCTGGTTACGTTCCACTCTATGACAGAACTCCATAACTTATTGTGAAAAATACCAATATTTTAGATTAGTAAAACCTTGCTTAATTAGACCAAAAACGGTAGAGGATTATATCAAATGTAGCATACGAGACAAAATTGAAAACAAACTCATGTTGTTCGTTGATAAAGTAATTGATTGTCAACTTTCACAAGTTTGAAAAAATAGTGACAGACTAATATGAAATATTACACAGTCTGGCTTTTAAGTTTTAAGTCTGATTTTATTGTGGCGAAGTGCGTGGCGCTATTTATGTGCGGCTACCGGAACTACGTAGTGCCTTTCGAGAGACAAAATTTCATCAGTATACGTGTATCTACCACGAAGTTATAACGGTTTGCGTGAAGCAAGTTTTTGAAAATTGTCATGGAAACGCACACTGAACAGCGTACAACAATCAAGTTATGTTTTAAAGCTGGTAAAATATTTATAAAAAAAAGGAGCACAAATTATGGATATTTATTTTGAAAATAACACAAGTTGGAGGATATGCATATGAATTAATTTTATTATTAGTTTTTTTACAGAAAATAAAAAAGCATAATAGTTCAGGGTCGATAAAAATGCATGAAAGGAAAAAATGTATTTTTTAATGAATGTCCTGGATATTTTACGAAAACAACAGTTATGTCAGAATAAAAAAAAGAGAAACGTTTTAATAAACAGTGTTCACCTCCTGACAGTAATGAATTCCCTGAACAAAATTTTGTAGTGGATCTAAAAGTGTCTTGGGAGGAATAGTGGAAATTTAATGCCTTAACCTTTCCTGCAACTCCCAGAAAAAAGTCTAGCGGGGTTATATCGGGAGACCTACCTGGCCATTCAATTGCCCATCTGTGACCAATCCATTTATCAGGAAAAGTTTCATCTAGATAGATGCCTGTACCAAACGTCCAAAATGTGGAGGAGCCCCATCATGTTGAAACCATATTTGTTCTGCTAGTAAATTGGGATTGTTATCGTTCGGGTACAGTCCTATAAGCTCTGGAATAATATGTTCTTGCAAAAGTAATAAATATCGTTGAGAGGTCAAATTTCCGTTTATAAAATAGGGTCCTATGACGTGTCCTCCAATAATGCCAGACCAAACTTTTACTTTCTGTGGTCGTTGGGTGTGAACTTCCTCCATCTAATGTGGATTTTGGTCTGACCAATACCTACAGTTGTGTCAGTATATGTGCCTGTTTAAAAAAAATGTAGATTCGTCAGAAAACAATATGTGACAAAGTTTATTTTATCCACAGTACTTAATTTCGAATAACTTGATTCTACGATCATAATCGTTTTCATTTAATTCTTGTAACAAATGAATTTTATATGGATATAATTTCTTCCGTTCGCAAATTTTCTGAATGGAATATCGACTCATGTTATGATTTAAACCTCTCTGTTATATCGAATTTATTGGATTTTCCACCATATCTAACATGACATTCGAAGAATTTTCTTCATTTGTAACGGTTCCTGGTCTTCCACTTTTTCGTCCATTTGTAACACCTCCAGTTTCATGAAAACCCTGCAATATTTTTGAAATGGTTGATTTAGAAATAAGTTCCCGATTGGGATGAATTCATGAAAAATACGCTCGGCTTCACTTAAACGTGCCATTTTTGCGAGAAAATTATTCACACTAAATGTATTTTTGACACGTGTTGTCAAGATAATCACTATTAGACAAAAGAACGACGCGGCGTTGTTTTGGAGCTAGAAACTTTCAAAGGTAACTTGATGTACTGTAAATTTAATTAACTAAAATATTTTTGTATAAATAAGAAAATGATTTTCAAAGTTCGATGTCTCGAAAATGGTTAATTTAGGTACATGATGTGTTATATGAATTTTGTTTAGAATTTCGAGAAGTATTAAAATGTTTGTTTCGTCGTGATTTTTTGACTGATCCTGTATACTTAATTTTTTTTATTATAATAGATTTAAAGAAACCCTAAAACGTTTGTGTCTTTTGATTTTTCGATAGCTATCTTACTTTAGGCGATAATCGACTGTTTCCATACACATCAACGACCCTGTATAAGCA